TGACCCTGGATCTCTTCAAGCGATGGCTTCATTCGCTCGACGACAGCCTCTCCAACAGGAGCCTTCTGCTTATCGACTCATGTGGAGCACACGGCAAGTCTAACGACAAGGACCCACTTACAGGAGAGACATGGAAACACCTTCGAATTGAGCGCCTGCCACCCAATTCGACATCCGTTACCCAACCTTTGGACCAAGGAATAATCAGCGCATTCAAACGACACTACCTCGAGATGCTCAGCAACAAATCGGCTACAAAGGAGTATGCCACCGGGGAGAAAATTACCAACGGCGAGGCGTGGTCACTTATTCCGTACGCGTGGTCGCATGTCAAAGCCTTGACAGTGAGGCATTGTTTTTGCAAAGCGGGCGTTCTTTCAAAGGCGCAAGTTGACTACCTGGAGCAGGAATCAATATATGTGGAGGAGCGGCCACCACAGTATCCACCTGTGGCGGACAAGGATGCAAGTCAAGTCAGGCGACGTTATGTACGATTGATTGCTTCGGTCATGGACGGGGACAAGATTCAGTTTTCCCTCGACAAGAACCAAAAGGACGCATAGGATATAGCAGAGGAGATCAAGCAGAAGGTGCGCAACAAGATCGTTAAGAGGTACGACTCACGCGACAGGAGTTCTTCCATTGAGCGTGACACTGTCGAGTCGTTCAAGTCCAAGCACGGAGAAGAGGATGTGGCGAGTTTGCTGGTCGAGTGGCTCGGGGGTGAAGACGCGATTGGCCGAAAGGTAGCGCGGTATGTGATCCGTAATTCCATGCATAGATAATTTTGAAACTGAATAACACCCTTTATATATTTCAATTCAGTGGAAAAAATGCACATTTCACTATGAAAAGTGCAAAAAGGACTGTAGACGTAAATAGAAGGGGATAAATATGGGGATCCGTTAAGCTAAATGGTACGAGCTAGGACTATATTCCTAAACCGAGTGATTCTCATTTACTACACCACAGCACATTTCGCATGTGTGTGGACTATCGTGGACTCAATCGCATCACCAGAAAGAACCGACACCCTCTCCCCAGAATTGATGAACTCACTGACCGATTTCGCGGCGCTTGCTACTTCACCAAACTCGACCTATTATCTGGATACCACCAGCAACGCATCTTTGAACCATATACATAGGACCGCGTTCCGTTGTCGGTATGGCCACTTCGAGTTCAATGTCGTCCCTTTTGGTTTGACCAATGCATCTGCTGCTTGTTCGAACATGATGTTCAATGTCCTTGACCCAGTATTGGACAAATGGGTTGTTATCTACCTCGACGACATTCTTATTTATTCCAAAACCAAAGCTGAGCAGCTGTCCCACATCCGAAGCGTCCTTTCGCTATTCCGCAAGAATGGTCTTTAAACGAAGCTGAGCAAGTGCTCCTTCATGCAAGAAGAGACTGAGCTTCTCGGCCACGTCGTCTCCAAAAACGGCATCCACACGTCCGCCGGACATGTTAAAGCCATCCGCGAGTAGCCGCGCCCCACCAAGCAGAGAGATGTCCAGCAGTTTATTGGTCTCACCCAGTTTTATCACCAGTACATCCGTAATTTGCTGACATCGCTCTACCTTTGACCGCACTGCTAGGTGAAGGCGTTGAATTTACTTGGGGCCAGGACAAGGAGCACGCCTTCACCGCACTCAAGGAAGCAATCAGCAAGGCTCCAGTCCTTAGGATTTTCGACCCCGATCTGCCAACAACTGTAGAGACAGATGCTTCAGGATTCGCGCTCGGTGCAGTTTTATTTCAGACGGATGAGCACGGCGGATCTCGACCAGTAGCATTCACGTCGCGGAAGTTCAACTCAGCCGAACGGAATTACTCAACCCACGAGCAGGAGTTGCTCGCTGTAGTTCATGCCCTCAAGCAATGGCGCTATTACCAGATGGCACGTATTTTATTGTGTATACAGATCATGCGACACTCAGACATTTTCCAACCCAACCCAAGCTCACCCGACGACAGGCGCGCTGGATGGAGCTCCTGCAAGAATATAGTTCGATTTCAAGTACAAGCGTGGCGCGAACAACGTTGTCGCGGACGCTCTCTCACATCGCCCTGACCATCAAGAAGAATCACCGCCAGTTGCAGTCAACAATTTAGACATCCGCGTTGGTCCAGGCTTAAGGCAGCGCCTGGTGGGTAGCTACCTCGATGACCCTAGTCTCGGTCCTATCTACAAAGGCTGCCTCGAGGGAAGTCCACCCCCACATTATTCTTTAATTGATGAATTGCTCTACGTTTCTCGTCGTGGCAGCACTCTTGTTTGCATCCCTCAGAAGTCTGACATTCGTCTGCTCTTCTACACGACGTTCATGACTCTGCTATTGCCGGCCATCTCGGTTTTGACAAGACGTACGATGCCCTTCGACGCATTGTATACTGGCCCGAGATTACTCATGACACTCGGCTCTATGTGCAGACATGCGAGAGCTGCCAGCGCAGTAAGCCAATCCAGCAACGACCTGGAGGATTACTTCAGTCTCTAGAAATACCAGCACAGCGCTGGAAGACAGTGACCATGGACTTCATTGTGCAATTACCCAAGACACCTCGTGGCCATGATTCCATCACTGTTTTTGTGGACAAGCTATCAAAGCAAGTTCATTTCGCCCCGAGCAGCACAAAGGATACAGCATCAGACGTGGCACGCCAATTTTTTCATAACGTCTTCAGACTCCATGACATGCCTACCACTATCGTCTCCGACCGCGACTCCAAGCTCACAAGCCGCTTCTGGGAGGGGTTGCACCGCCTCATGGATGTCAAGCTAGCGATGTCGACTGCCTTCCACCCTCAGACCGATGGACAAACGGAACGGGCCAATCGAACTTTGGAATATATTTTGCGCGCGTTCGCAGATCAAAGACAAACGAATTGGGATTTACTTCTATCAGCCGCAGAGTTCGCATACAATAATTCGATTAATGCCACTACTGGTTACTCACCATTTTTTTGAACAATGGTTTCCACCCTCGCGTCCCGCACCATCCCCAAAGCAGTCCCAACTCCAGTGTTACCGAGTTCATGGAGTCACAGAGTACCACATTGATTGTCGCACAGGAGGCAATCGCTGCAGCGCAGGAGCGCCAGACACGGAGTGCGGATACCCGTCGATGAGACCATGATTTTCAAATCGGAGACAAGGTGCTACTCAATGCAGAAAATATCACTGTTACAGCGGATCGCAATCGCCCGACCAAGAAGCTGTAGGATCGATTTATTGGCCCCTATACAATCCTGGAGCAGCACTCACCAGTTTCTTTTCGCGTTGAGCTGCCACCTACTATGAAAATCCACGATGTCTTCCACGACGCTCGCTTCCGTGAACACAAACCATCGCCTGAAGGCCTTGGACAGCGTGCACCGGCTCGACCACCACCAGAGATTATTGATGGAGAGGAGGAATACGAAGCAGAGACTATCTTGGACCATCGACAGCGAAACAATAGGACAGAATACTTAATCCAATGGCATGGGTACCCCAGGGAGGATTCGATATGGGAACCGGAGAGCAACCTTACGCACTGCACTCGACTCTTACGATAATACAAGCGCAGCCATGGAGTATGATTTTTTTTTTTAAATGGGAGGGTGCAACAGGATTACCACTCATTTACCAAGCTGCACGGTTACGACACACAGAACCAGGATGGGAGCCCGGCGCCATGACAACACCATTACGACACTGTACAATAGACCACAGATATGTATATATAGACCCTACTTATGATCATTAAACAGTATTTATTTCTACGCATCCCTACTTGACACTGCCCTTGACCCCTTGACTCTGCTGCTGTTGCAAGTACAGCGCTTTTTGATCGTCGTTGCAGAGATCCAATTCATGAGCTGCCTTAGCCGCAAGTGCTTCAATGTCGAGCTCTGCATATTGTCCAAGTTCGTCACTGTTGGGTTGGCGATTGATGAGGTTACGAAAATCTCAGGCATCTCTTCATAGGCCGCTAGACTGGCCCCAGTTCCCTTCTAAATCTCGTTGACGTTGAACAGCGCAGTGCTCTTGACATCTTCTTCATCATTCGAGCGACCTCCAGCAACGTACAGAAAGTCCAGAGCTAGATCATCAACGAACATTTCCCATAATTCAAGAGGATTGGATGGGTTGCATAGATGTAGAACCATGGCAAAAAGATGGCGTAAGGCCGCAGGGCTTGGGTGACCCGCAACCTCCTGAAGACACCAGTGCCATTCAGAGTCATCCTCCAGCAATCCGCGCGCATTAGCAGCCTCCCAGTAAATAGTATAAATCTCGTCAGTGTCTGACGCTAGTCGCTCCTCTGACATGCAGGGGCAAAAGACGCAAACAGTAATGATCGCGATCCATGCTGCTCGCAAAGTTTGAGGCCGCGTAGTGCATTCGGCCGATGGGTAGCACATCTAAATCCAATGTGCTATACAGGCGATTGTAAGCGGTAATTAAATCAGCGCGCCTGGTGAGAAGTACTCAGCGGTTAGTTCAGACTATCTGTAAGTCCACCTCATTAAAAAAAAAAAAAAAAAAGCCTTTCGGGCGCGTTACTGGAGTTCTCAGGGCAGTCCCTGGAGGTGATTCTGGAATGGCTAGTTTGGTGCATATGCATGTCCGAGGTGCTCGGACAGGTCCAGTAGCAGGACTATTCACCAGAATTAGTGCCACATATTGATATCATAAATAGGCTTGTCTATAGGGCGCGGATTTACAGACCCTGTGGTCAACGATTTTTCTTCGTAAGTATCTTCTGTCCTCAAAATCATCCAACTCTAATTTAAAGATGAGATGGGGCCCTAACATGGCGCCTGTGCTATCTTTGAGAATGAAGCTTCCATGCTAAGCTCGCCGTACCACCGTATGTGGTCCCTCGTGCGGTGGAATAAGTTTGCCTCCTTTGATCGAACCTGAAAAATTTAAGTGCCCCTCACGACGAAAGGGAACCCCTTGCCACATTGGGTGTATTCTTTCTCTACATTTTTTAGAAAATATACATGTAACATTTCGCGTCTGCGAGAATCATTTATTAACGACATAGCTCGGTGCGCACAGAAAGGTATATACTTCGCCATTCTCCTCCCCTTCCTCTGAAAACGTCCACCGACTCGACAGTCGACCCTCGCGCTCGCTCGCCCTCCTTCCAAGCACCACGACATCGTATAGATCATCGACCAGCATCCTGTTTAAGTTGAAAAAGTTGTGCCGGATCGAATGAATGTTCACGTCCAAACTCGTGGTATCGATCACATCCACGTCCAATACCTCACCCGTCGGCCCGTACACCAGCGTCCGAGGATGTCGCCCCAGCGACTTCTTCCATCCCAGCACCTCACTCCAGAACAACGCCCCGTCGTGCGCATCCGCGTACAGTGTAATATGGGGACAGTACTTTGACAGCGTCCAATAATCTTCATCCAGGAAAATATCCAGATCCGCATCCGGATTCAGCAATGTAAACGTCGCCAGTTGAATCGGTCGGGAAGGGTCATCGCTGCCCAAATTGGCAGCACTGGTCCCCTGCAGCCTCGCAGACGCGGAGCCATGACCAGGCATGGAATCACGGTATCGGATGGACATCCTGGACTGCAACATCGGCTTACCACCATCCTCTGTCGAGACCAAAGATGGCTCACTATCAACCGCAATCACCTCACGCTCCGCAAGCACGCCATCTAGGTATCCCTTCCGAAGAGCCGATAACACAATGCGTGCGCCCATGCTGTGGGCCAACACATGGACTCTACGGAATCCAGCCTCTCGCAGGTCTGCAATGAACTGCCGCAGATCCTTTGCCACAACGTCTGAGCATCCGACCGATTTTGCGGTGAAGTATCCAAGTGTCGTTGACGAGGGCCAGCTAAATACGAATGGTTTGATGTACGGAGGGAACTCGCCTAGGGCGAGCAGCTGACCCAGTCGCGCCACGCCGTATGTTAACGGGCAGTTGTATCCATGCACAAATATAAGCGCCTCGTAGCCGGCTCTCGATGCTGCAATTGCGGATGAAGAACGACCATCCACATCCAGGACCTGTCTCCACCCATCGATCATGAGTCCCGTTTGGTTGAGCCATTTCTTTTTCCGCTCCCTCTCGCTCTCCAGCGATCTCCGTCCTTCGGTTGTAGGACTAGCAGGTGCATCCAGGATAGACAATGGACTGATAGAACTTGAGTCTGATTCGTCACTCCTGTTGTTCGTACTGATCCCTTTAGCAGGATGAGTCGGCAACTGCAGCGTCGGCATTTGAGTTTGCGAAATCGAATGCTCTCCCTCACCCTCCTTGCTCTCCACAAGCGTCGTATGCTGTCCTTCCACCCCCAGTTTCGGTGGACAGACACGCCTGATAACGATCTCATTTGGATCCACCCTACGCCTATATCTAATATATCCGGGGATGAAAATGCCGCGGTCCGAGTAGCGTACAACAATTGACTTGGATAGAGGCACGCTTTTTTTGGAGGATGTGCCGTGAAAGCTGCCACGGATCGAGGGGCGACTCTGAAGACTCTCTGTGAATGTCGACAGAAAGGATAGGGGATAGGTCAAGGCAATCGATGGTGCTTCTAGATCGCTTTTTGCTTTTCCTTCTAGCTCTGAACGCAAGATTCCCTTGCCAATAACTCGCACATATGGCAGGTGATGGAAGAATTTGCTATCATAAGAATAATCGGCGTTAGCGCATTGTCAGCATCCGAAGGGTATCTTTGATTGAAATTCAAAGAAAGGATGCATTCCTTACCCAGAGATAGAGCACTCTACGGCTGCGGCTCCATACGAGGCACCATTATGATCGTGGGCGGCACCAAATACTGTCGAATCATCTTTATCCATGGAATTTTTGCAATAGCCAATTCGGATGCTACTAAATGCATTGCCAGTGCCGTACTCCTGACTCTTGAATGGACCGATGGGTACTCCATGCTCCCAGATGCCTATCACAAGCACGAACAAGGGGTAAGTTCTCAGGTTCATCAATAACCATATCTCAATGGACTGGACACAAATCATTGGTGGCTTCCCTTGTACTCACCTTGCAACGCCTCTCCCGTAAAGGTATGATCTGTCCATTCTCCGAGGCCATGTGGCTGTCCCAGTTCGTCGAATTCGCCCACATATGTAACAGTACTCCTCTGAAGTCGACACTCATCTGGATCCCAGGATAGATACGAAAACATGACGGTCTTGTAATTAGCGCTCATCGACAGCGGCTTGGGTGTTTCTCGGATCCGCCACCATCTCTTGCAATTGAGCCATTTTGCGCGTAAGATGATCCGCGGGTAGGCGACGCGCATGAGGAATACAATGAGGAGTGTAAGGCATTCGATAAAAGCAAGGACGATAACCACGATCTTGGTCCCCAAGGCCATCTTTCCGTCGGGATCTGTCTCAGATTTAGGTATTCCCTTGAATTCGTCAAAAAGCTTCCCGCGGTTGATGGCAAAAAGTACTAGAGTTGCTAAGACTAGCCTTTTGTTGAAAGATCATTGAGGTGTTAATATTACGTTCGCAAGTACTCAGACGTGCCTTACGGAGAAACGAAAGAAAATTTTACTTGCCAGTAGAAGCACCACCGAATGACAATAGAGACCTTGACGACGACATAGCTCATGACGATTAGGAGGATGACTACAAGGGCCAGTTCTGGCCAGGTGGCGGCGAGTTCCAGTTGCTGTGCACCAATGCCTATCAAAGTCATGAACAGGGCAATGATGATGGCAGAGAAGATATATCGTCGAGTGCTGTGCCGTCTGTATTGTCCTATATACAAGGATAAAAAACAAACCAATCAGTAATAAAAAAAGCGCGCTCATCACTTTTTTTATTTTTTTGTTTTTTCTGGAGGAAAGGAACCGGAGAAGAGGTAAAAGTGGTTGTTTAACGGTACCATGGGCCTTTCGCCTGAGTTTCCGGTGGACCATGAATCGGAATGTGGGTATGATGGTGTCGATGGAGGGTTCGACATGGTCGTCCGACCGAGTGGAACGGACCGAGGGAGCCATTTTCTTTCACCTTTCTGAGCGGTTGACAGAGGATAGCGATGGAGATGTGTGAGGTATATAGGAGGCGAGCAATTGAAGGGAAAAGAAATGAGTAAAAAAACGGCAGGCTAAGTCAAGGGGAGCATAGAAAAGAAGATTTGTCCATGAACAGGGCTGTAGGAATGTGGCGTGCAGAGAGGGGAAGGTGTATAGACCCACCAACTATGGGATGTAGGACTATAGAAATCTATAAGAAATAAGGTTAATCGTGCGATGGTGCCTGAGCTCTTAGCAACTAAGCACTTGGTAATGATAATGATAATGGATATGATGATGGCCACCATCATCCCCTTTGGTCCGTAGCCGGAATTTTGTTGTTATTCATCCTTCCGCTCCACATATGTTACCGATCCCGTGGGTCCTTATCATGGATTTGGTTTGCACTCGTTCGAACCTTATATTCCATGATTGCACGTTCATGTCATGGCATATCATATCGCGCCTTCTTTAGTCCATTTTCTTTATTTGTTGTTGAAGTCGTTGCTGCTATTCCTTGCTCCACTCATGCTGCAATAGCAGAGACACGGGCCATCATATTCAGCAACTGCAATTGCTCGTCCGCGCCATCGCACAGCGCCTTGTCCATATCCCCAAATATCTCCGAAATCTTGGCCTTCTGCAGTGAGCTCAATGAGTCGTTCCTCATCAATCGTGTGTGGAGCTGTGACAAGATTCGTGCTGCAGAGTGTCCATCCGCGACTACGTTCTGTACCTCGACCGAAACTGTCTTGTAGTCCTTTGTACGCCAGCATGCCTCCAGACCATCAATCACCGATTCAGGCACCGTCTAAAACGTCGTTCAAAAACAGAAAATGTGTTAAAGTATGCCATCTTGAAAAAAGAAAACAAAAGGGAAAAGTAACTAAATGGATGCAATTAGATCCAAACTCACGCCAGCAATATCTGCAATCACATCCGGGCTGATCTCAGTCTCCTTGCCGATCAACCGCGACGCACTCTGAAGATACATGATTGCCTTGCGAAGGTCTCCTTCCGAGATCCTGATCAAGCTGAGAATCGCCTCCGGCGAAATCTTGACATCTTCTTGTTGGCAAATCATCTCCAAACGCTCCTTACTGTGTTTCTCCTCCAGGGGTCTGAACCGGAACTTGGCACAACGTGAAGCCAATGGTTCTATGATGCGTGTGACATAGTTGCAGATCAGGCAGAACCGTGTCAATTTTGAATAAGTTTCCATGGTTCGTCGAAGGGCAGACTGGGCATCCGCTGTCATTGAATCTGCCTCGTCCAGAATGATAATCTTGTATGGAGGACAGCTCTGCTTGCTATAAATACCAGGTGCCGGCGTATTAAAAGCAGCGAAATATTAGCATTCGCTCCTGCCCTGAAAAATGAAACGTCTGACCGAGTGCATGACTTACCCAATGTTATGGGTAACAGTTGACCGAGCAAAGTTTTTTACTTTTTCACGGATAACTTGAATACCACGCTCATCCGATGCATTCAGCTCCAGAACACGCGATCCAATCATCTCGGGTCTAGTTGCGTTTTAAAGAATAAGGCAACTGTTAGCCACTGATCCGGGACCCTATAAATCGTCAAAGGATAGCACATCGTGTAGATCCACAGTACCCATAGATATCCCTTGCAAGTGCGAGAATTGTCGAGGTCTTGCCTGTTCCTGGTGGTCCGTAAAACAACAGGTGGGGCAACTGAGTCGAGTGAAGAGGAAATAATTGCAGTTGGATCAGTCCAATGTGGAGGCGTTAAACGTGGCGAATGGTCTGATCCCGCAATTGCTCCGTACATTTTGAGACTCCATTGTTTTCTTGAGAACTGTGACAGCCTGCTCCTGGGAGCTAATATCGTCCATTGTTTTTGGTCGACTAATGTCCAGAAAATGAAAAGTGGTGGCAAAAATTGTTAAATCATGTACAGCGGTTTCTTCGGCTCAGATATCCAACCCAACGCCGCATCGATTTCTTTTGGCTGAGGAGAGATACTTTTCTCTATCTCTATCTGGATGGGATCTATTGGTGATGTTCACTATGCCATGAATAGTCGAGCCTGCAATAGATACACACGACTCACTATTTTTCAATCCAGGGCTTCTGTGCTGCAGCCGCAGCAGCCACAGCCGCAGAGGTGGATGAACCAGCGGCAGTCTGTCGTTTAGCGAAGAAGGACATTATCTCTGGAATCGGGATCTTATGTTCGCTCTGATTTCGTGAAAGCGAATGATCCTGCTGATGGATTCCTTGGACCCTACTGATGTCAACGAAGAGTAAAAACGATGCGAACAAGCGTGGGCGCGGGCGCGACTTTTTTTTGTTATTGCACTGACAGGCGTTGTAGCTACACGTGACGAGTATGAGATGCTTTGCCCAGAAGACTTATTTTTCCAGCATTTCTTGATATCCTTCTTCTTCTTCGTCTTTTCCTTACTTCCATCTACTCATCCCACGCGCTCCGAACAATCTCCTTCATTCCTTTTTTTTAATAACCAACAATGATTCACATCCCATATGTCGCTGGAGGAGCTGTCCGTACGTGTCCCAATTGTGTGTTGCTGTCGCTGATCTACAGTATCCGTTAATTCAATACCCTCACTAACCCATGGTGTCCACAGTCCTAGGTGGTCTTTATAACCAGCTTTCTGGAACCCTTGTCTACGGTCCTCTCTTCGGGAAAGTCTGGGTTGATGCCATGAACAAGGTATGCAAGCATGTATAGGAAAAAAAAATCGGCAACATCCACGAAAGATCATCGAATTGATCTAGGACTGGATATCTCTTCACGTATTAACAAGCGCAAGGATAAACTGCTCTCCTTTCCATTAATCGACAACATAACAGGATAAGGGTAGCCCAGGCTGGAGGGACGTGAACTCCAAGGACGGCACGCCAATCCTAATGCTCAAGGAGTTCGTCATGAACTTGAGTAAGGTAAACGAAAGACCTTGGGAAGACGCTTGCATGATGTCATGACATCTCAACCATATCCAAACCTGACACAATTATTATTTATTTTTTTACGATATGCAGTCGTGGTTCACTGGGCTGCTTCTTAATCTGACGCAGGCTCGTACCATGTCCCAGGCTGCCCAGCTTGGCGCCTTCTTGTACTTTGGCGTTCTGGCTCCGACTATTATCTCGGAGACCGTGTGGGAGAAGCGACCTAATGATCTGCAAAAGTTCAAGCTGCTCTCTGGATTTAGCAGCACCGTGCTGCTGGCCTGTGTAATGCACTGGTGGGGTACCGCATAAGTGGATCTTGTCCTATCCGCATCCATAGTTCAAATATGAATCTCGAGTTGCGCATGAATTTGCCCGTATCCCAAAAACCCTTAGGAAAACCTATGCTGCTCTTCGGCAAAGGTTGTTAGCGGTATAAGTTTTGTTTGCCATTCAAAGGTTGCAGCACATGCGTTGTAAATAGCAATAATGACGATAATAAACCAGAATTGTACATTTGTTGCTTTCAAAGCAGCGCTATTGCACGTATAACAATCACGACAGGCATTTCTCGTTCAGCTATCACCGAATTAGGTTTGCGATGATCACGGCATATTTTATCTCAAAGGTAATGGAAATGAAAGTAAAATACTTATTTTAATGAATGAATGTGCAAGATATCAAGGGTATGCAAAAGGCATGCTACTGTGCAATGCTAGGACCCGAAGTAGACAGACCAGAGGCGCCAATCCCGGCCTTGGCAGCATGGCAACCAGTCAGTCGATGTGTCTCCAGATCCGACACCCTACATTCGCTATTGCAGTAGCGTACCTTTTTACAGACACAGAGCGGCATCAGGATGCGGGTTTGTCCGCAATAGCCGCACCTGACGGCTTTCTTTTGGTGGCCCGACATGGTCAGCATAGAGGATGCAGGGTGCTGAGGGGTCTTGGATCGCTGCTGTGCACGAGGATGGTGATGGTCATGGTGATGGGAATCGTTGGTCCCAGTAGTCATAGACGTATCTGAAGCGGGCTCGATCTTTGCTTTGAGCAAAAGACTTTGGCTGCGCTGCAGTTTGTGTGCAGACTTTATGTTGGCATCCGGCTTGGAAGGCGTGACATTTGCAGCTGTAGAGACGGATGGGCTCGAGCTGGAGCGGAAGAGGCTAGAGTTCCAAACGGCGGAGAAGCTGGACAGCGCTCCTGAGGGTCTATGTACCGTGATGGTACCAGAATCAGAACTAGAGACTGACGAAGAACTCGAAATGTCTGAATGACTTTGGATCGTTGAAGCCTCAGAGGAAGTATATGTGGATGAGGCGCAGGACATCGTCGTATGCCTGGCACTGGCTTTTGACGACAAGATAGACAGCGACGAGCCCTGTATGTTCTTGTTCCCACTTCCTGCACGATCATGAGATCGGTCGGGCCTAGTTTTGGCTCTCTCCTGGGCGTCGCTCTCCAATTTCTGGCACTTGTGTTTCTGAACCGTAGCCTGCTGCTGCAGTACATTCAGTGGTCTCTTTCCTGTTGATGCAATCTCGCTGCATACGCCATATGCTTGGGCACCGTAATGGTACTCGCCCTTTTGCTGATGAACCCATCCTAGCGTAAACATGATTCGTATCCGAATGGCGCGACACATGTCCTGATCCCGCTGTTGCTCGTTCAGAGGCAAGAGTGAAATTGCCAGGTTTAATGGACTGCACCTGATCCCAGCATTGATTTGTGCCTTTGATGATGGTGATGTACGGCTCTTCTGATGATGCCCTGCTGAATGACCGACAATCCTGGCTTCAGCGATCGGGCAATCCTCCTCTAGGCTAAAGTTCAAGAACGACAAGTCAACGCCTTGTGTCAACAAGAGGCCACCGGACAGGGTCGAATCGGCGTGGTGGGCCGCTCCTTCTGTCAGGGCTGAATCGAGGAAGGAATTTGATCTCGCAAGCTTTTGTTCCCGGACTCCGGTCTCTTTGTTCAACCCACGCTCGATCTTCCGAAGAATGCCGACGGCTGCTACCACTATGGGTTCATCCAACCCAAGAACTCCTTTCTGAACCATGAAACACAGCTTCTGAACAATATCTTCGATCTCAGTGGTGGCAAGACCAATCCTTCTTCCCTCCTCATCCTTTTCCTGCTCTTCGTCCTCATAGTCACTCTCGTCACAGTCGTCGTAATCGTCGCAACCGTCGCATCCTTCGCAATCATCTCCCTCGTCCTCGTCCTCCCTCTCCTCCGCGTCGTTCTTGGAGTCGCCCTGGTCCTGGTTATCCTGTCCCGTAAGATGTAAAGGGGTACGGTATTCGCTCTCAACGGACTGTGCAACTACTTTTGATGATCTAGAATGCTTGCTTGCATGCTTTCGAATGGGTATAGAGATCTCAGAAACATTGGTACGTCGCTGTACCTTACTGATTCTTCGGGGATGTGCAAAATACTCCTCGAGTTCGTCGTGTTCGTCTCGAGTGCTGGATCTCATCGACCCTCTATCGACGAGCCGAGAGTAGGACCACCGTCTGGCCGTCCAGATTCGAAGAGCATGGATCAGGATGTGTGTTGCCTTCGTGTCGCTTCGAATTAGGCCAGGAACACTTAAAGTTGAGGTGTAGAGAGCGTACAGGGAGGAGCAGGCGGGTATCGAGTTGTGACCCTCTGCAGCGAGTTTGTAGAGCGCCAGGGCTGGGACATATCGGTGTGAAATGTAATGGGACTGGGCTTGCAGGAGAATGTCGTGGAGTGTCTTTGGCGGCCGTTGATTGTCGTACAAAGCAACAGAGGTCGAGAGTGATGCTGAGAGAGCCGTTGGCGATTTCGCAAGCATACCGATCGAGGACGTTGAACGAGAGCGTTGTCGACCCATTTTCTTAGGGGATGTCGGCAAAGTTGAAAATGTGTCGAGCGCACGGAGAAGTTTGTTGGCGCTTTGGTTCGAGCAAAAGGTGCGAGGGATAGAGAAGAAGGGCTGAGAGTAAGCGTAGGAGAGAGTGGTGCTTGTGGTCGACTCTGCAATGAGGCTGGTCGATAGTTGCTCTGGAGCAGAACCGCGGAAGGAAGACGAGAGAAGTGACGAGGAGAGTGAGAAAATAGACGGATTGAGATTTGATGCAAGGGCAGAGATTTGTCGGGATCGCGATGGTTGAGGTTGAGGTTGAGGCTGGAGCTGGGGCGGAGAGGCAGCAGTGGGAGAAGAGGGGATGGAGAAGATGGCAGAGAGGGCTGGACGCTTGCGGGTATAATATTTCCGAGGCGGAGATGATAGAGAAAGAATAGGCCGAGAGGTGTAAGGTGGGGAAGAGGTCAAAGAAGAGGCCGAAGAAGAGGAAGAAGTAGGGGAGCAGGCGTATGAATAGACAGTGGAGGAAAGAGGGGAAACGAGGGATGTGGTGGATGGCGAAGAAGAAGAATAAGAAAGAGAAGATGAGGCGTAGGATGCAGCCGATGCTGAGGAAGAGAGCAATGGAGCAGGAGATAAGGTGTGCTCGGCCGTCCAAGAAGGAAAGACTGCTGAACGTGGGCAGAGCGGTATCCAACCATGGTCTCGATCGATTCGTTGTGACTGAATAGGGTTGCGATGGCTATCTTTGCAACTGCACCCGTAACTGTCACTGAGGCTACTAAAATCAACAAGGCAGTGACCCTGGCGAAAGTCCAGCTGTTGCTGTAATTGTTCCTGGCCATGTTGCAGTTCCTGGTCCTTCTGGTGCTGATGCTGAGATTGAAGCAGGCGGTGCTGATCAAGTGGAATCTCCATCAACTGAGCTGAATCTGGCGGCTGAGCTATATGATTGCCAAGATCCTATGCGCGATAATTGGACAGATAGATCAGATGGGAGGAATTGTACTGCATACAAGCATGAATGGTAAGTTTCTGAGCTGCATTGCATACGGTACAATAGACCAATATACCATCTGTATCAAGCATGCAACCAGACGGATCATCGGGCGAAACTGGCAAACGAGTTGCATCCATACTACGAAAAGGAGCAAAGCCAACAATGGGGCGCAAAGCGAACAGGCTCAAAAAGAGACATGCAATGGAAGAAAGAAACTCATGCCTTGGTATTGAAGTGAATGTATGAAGTAGAGATACACGCGGTGGAGTTCTGGAGACGAGCGAGCGTGCACACTGCTCATGGATAATTCCCATGAAGATTGACGGGCATTTGATTGGTGAGCAGTAGTTAGTCGCAGCACCATCTACCGACTATGGCATAATCCCTCCCCCCTTCCCCTCTCTCTCTTTCTCTCTCTCTTTCTCTCTCTCTTTCTTTCTCTCTCTCTCTCTCTTGTAAACAAGAAACAGCATGCCTCAGGCTCCGAGGAAGAAGAAGGGAGTGAAAGGCTATTATGATGTTTGCGGACTCAGCAGCGAAGAGAGCCCCTGCATTCGCACCTGAAAAGGGTCGCACAAACCGCAAGGGACAAATGTTGGTGAAAGAGTCATAGATCTCATCTGTTGATTGTCAGCGACCATAAAACCCAGCGGCCCTTCTTGCCAATGCTGCAACTGCTGCAAGTTTTCCTGGTACTCCTGCCCGCAAGGATATGCAGATTGACGTCGAGGATGAGAAGGAAGAAACCACGAGGACTTGAAGTCATTGCCTTGTTGGACATTGATGCCGCCGCGGTCACTGTCAACACCGAGTACCGCTGGAGTTATGTGTACCTTGTAGCACGGCATGGCTTTCTTTCCTGTCGAAATTAATCCTCGAAGTGTGCGTGTACAGCTCTGATCGCCTATTAAAAAAAATAAAATGAATCAGCAATTGACTGAATCCTGAAGTGTAAGCACATCCAGAAGCCCAGTGATCTACAAGATCAGATCAGATCTCTATATACATGTAATCTACTGCAGAGCCAGCCTTAGCTACCAGAGAGGTTAGTCATTAAATCCCACTTCCACCCATTTTATTCTTCTTCGAACAAGGGAATGAAGGACACAAAGCCAAGCTGCTTCCTTGTCTGTCGAACAATCACCAGTTGAGATATAAACCGTCTGCACAATAAGATTCCGGTTCTACCAGCCAATCCTTGGGGAACGTGGACAGACCCATTGGACGGCGTTGGCCAAAGTAGGATCAGGGAAGGAGAGTCGGATTCTAAAGCGATCGTCGCTTTTTGATCTGTCCGCATTTTCATAGCCAGACGAACAGACCGCTTACTGCCAATTACTCTGTGCGCCGTCCACGTTTTTTATTTCCGAGTGCGGAGGTTACGAGGACACACATACCTCAAGGACGGTTTCGATTCGACTGAAATAAAATAATTACTTGCAGTGTGGCCAGAATGAGGCGTGAGGTATGGGGTGTGTGTAAGCAAAGAAGGGATGCAGAATAATGAGGAATGCAACTCGCAGCTGAAATCGAAATGAGAAAGATGGAGGATCTGCCTGGTTCGGCTAGTCCTCTGGAAAGGAGCGAGACCAATAGACAAACAGACAGAGGGCGAGGCGGCGAGAAGGGGCGAGAACACTTGTGCATATTATTACTGGCGGTATTCTTGGCTGCTGTTTCGATGGCAAACAACCCCTTCTCATTCTTCCTGCGGATTGCAGACGGGAACTTCTTCTGTCTCTTATTTTCTCACTGTCCTCATACGAACAAGGAACGCACATTCATGCTCGCCCCTAGTCCTGTTGTCCCGATACTCCAATGCACACACGTCCGTTTCCTGCGCCGGTACCGCAACGCATGATCCCATCGAGCGGCATTCTTTCAATGCGGCATTTTCCATAGTCCAAGGCGCGTCACATGCGTGTATGGGGTCCATTCCTATACGCACTCCTTGCGTCTTTCTCCTCTTCTCTTTCCGGCGTTTCCTCTTCCTTCTATTACATGGCAGAGGTGCTATGAAAACACCTGCTTGCTGTCGCTGGTGGAACGGTGCTTGTAAAATAAGATCTATTTTCGTTCCTTAGTCAACCCTGGCAACGTAAGACCAGCAGAGATTTTTATTGGGGCTAAAGGGTGCAGGACCACTGCTGATCAAAAAAGCTATGCACGCGCTCAGACACGCCATGACGAACTAAGTAGGCATGCTGATAGGTCTAAATGTGCACGCGTCGCTGCCAGTATGGAGCGACCATGTCCGTCCAAATCGAGCCTACAGCATGGATCACATCTCAGCTTTTCTGCCATTGGCACACGCTCTTTACTTATGTATTAAACGCCCTCAAGGTCTATCTCTGGCCGTTTCTTGCCCGACGTTGTCTAGAGTATACCTGCTCGGTGCTGCATCAGGGACACACTACCGTCTTGAGAGACAATCGCTACAATTCTTTTTTTTCGAGTTGAAAGTAGGCTGTATTGCAAACAATATTGCAGCGTTTGCCAACTTCGGATAACTCGTCTGTATGAACTTCAACTTGGTATTTTAGATAAAAAGCGGTGCACATTACTGAGGCGGAGAAAGGCAATTGGTTTGGGTCCGATCCGGCCCTGAATCCCTTCTGCACATGTTTCCTCGGCCAGAGGTGATCAAGGCGGACTATCTATCGCTCCATCTTTCTATTGAAATTGCATAGTAAATATATAGAATACTTTGTCTTTATTACTTTCCTGAAGATTGCAAAGCGTTGCTCAAAGTACTGGGTTTGGAAGAATGCTGGAATGCTGCGCGGTACATCAGAGTGGCCAAGTTGAACGCCCATCCAGATGTAATTGTACCCAACAGGTCCCATCTCGTACACATTGTACGCCTTCTTCATGACCTGTAAGGTAGAAACTAACTCTTCCTCGGACCCTTGATATGTTCTGCTGAGCTGGCCTTGCAATTGCTTGGTCCAGACAGAGAGCCGATGCAAATTGACCGCGTCCTTAATTGTTTCGGTAGTGAGAGACGCCTCCCTAACGAGATGTTGATACAGGTGTCGCCGTGTTTACCCGAATACCTTGGAGAGATGACGAAGCTCTCTCCGATGATATTGTTTCTAAAAGGTTAACTGCGCGAGTCTACACTTGTTCGCGTGGTTATGATATAAGCAACAGAATGTAAGGAGACGTCTGATCCGTCTCTGAGGTAGTACTTGTCTCCTAGGCCTCTGCATGCGTGTAGAAATAGTTCCCAAAGTCGCGTCCCTTCGACAATAGCAGCTACATCCTATAGAGCTCTGCGTATACAGCAATTGTTTTTTTTTGCTTTTCATGGCCTCGTTTATGCCTACAACGGAAATACAAGACCGAGAGTCTGTGCTTTATCGTGTCTAATAACAACGTGTTGAATTTACTCCGTCACGCACCTGAATAAAGGTCGCGCTTCACCAATGATATCCTATGAGCATTCGGCCTTCATCACGCTCAGGATTCGTTGCGACGGACCATTCTTACATTATTTAGTGAGTATTAATCACTTCTAATAGAAAACAATACCATGTTGATGACTGATTCGACACACAAAGGCGATTTCCATTTCGTAAATATGCACAATATGAGCATGCTATATGAAACGTTCACCGACGGATAATTCTGAATTACTCTTCGAGTTCATGACCGAATGTGCGCACCTTGGAGCTCCAGGCTCTTAAACTTAAACCAAGCCTCAGCTTTGGATACCACTGCTATCGGCGATAATATAAACTGTAGAAAAGAACCTTTGTGCCATGATCAGATGCTGATATTTGAATGCAGTGCTAAAATGTAATGAACTAGAGTCTGCACTTGTTACCGTTAAGTTTCGTCGTGGTCATCTTCAAAATGCATCACCTCAAGATCGGCCTAAAACGCGCCTCTGCGTACAGACAATGGTTCTTTGATTAGTAAGCCATACATACGCAGAAGAAATGGAGAGGACGACGAGATACGAAGGCTGTAAGGTATGGCGCTCATATTCATTTCTTGCTGAACTATACTTTGAGGGCCATTTCGATATTAAAGACTTGTAAAATGCGATGCGCACAACGTGCAGTTATTGACAAGAGTACGGCATAAAGAGACCAAAGCATCGCGAACGAGGCAGAAATAGATGAAGACCAGGCTCCCAACGTACGGAGGACTCTCTTAAGATCGTGGACACACACGTGCAAAAAAAACTAGTGCATAGGTACTGCGTCCAAAACAAAGACAGCTTTAAGATATTTATTGTGGAAAAAATAGTAGCGATGGGATACGTTTCGGACCTTCTCACACGGCAGATTCAGAGGTACCGTTTGTAGGTTTTATGCGATAGTGAGGCGCTCTTATTTCAGGTCAGAACCCACGCTTAAGCTGTGATTCCTGTAACTATACGCTTTTTGCTCATTCGCGTTGTCCTCTTAATGGAAAAACAGCTATGACGCATTCCTCAACTTGGGCGCAGCATTAAAGATACTAAACACAGAACACAGGGGTCGCACAATTTGGGTCGTTTCTCGCCGTCTATGACTCCATGAGCAATGAACTATCGTTAGTATTCGCTGACGCCACATCGTACCACAAGCAAGTGCAATCGCCATTGTTATTCAGAAGCGGCTGACAGAGCTGGTAGATATGTCCTTGATTTATGTTCTTTATTGGAGCGCGCTAATATTATCAGGTCCAAGTGCCAACGCTCCTTTCCGTCTACATGCTCACAGAAACATTTATCCCGCCTCACCGTTCCTACTCCTGAAGCTCCTTTACATCACCATGGATCCAGAGATACGCCCCCCCGTCAATTGCGCCCAATTCAGCTCGGTTCTGCGTCATGTACCCTGTTCCTCAAGAAGTTCCTGTTTGCAGTGCTGTTTCCCCTAAAAATGGCCAACACGCTTCGCACTTCTTAGCCCTGTTCCTCGATCGCGTTTCCTAAACATACCCCTCAACCAGGTCCTTGACCTTCCTCCTCGCCAAGATAAGCGTCCGCGTCAAGGTCATGTAACTTAGTCGAAACTAATGTAATAATTCCTGCGGTGAATAAGAGACAATTACATGTACCCTATAGCGAGAAGATAGATTGCCCGTATTTCAGTCGTTCCGCTTGTGCGGTGGATCGGCGAAGGCTGCTGTGGTTTCAGGGACCCGGAAATATGATAGCACCCTGTCGAGGAAGATCAGGCAGTAGTCAGAGAAACCATTCGACACTTCGCCTTATGACGAAGGTGGGCTGATCCTTGCTGCATAGAACTGCCACTCACTCAAATGATCCTTGGCCCTCCCTGAGAAATTCCTGACCATGCATTTGCTCCGACTTGAAACATAGGCGAATGTGGACTCCAGTCGCTTTTTATTGAACCTTTGACGCTTCCTCGTGCCTTATTACTGCTAAATCCCCTCCGAGCGCTCATGAGAACATCGTCGTCTTAGCGACCCACAGATAAAAACAAAAACGACTCGTTAGGTTACTGAACAATAGGAGCAAAAAAAGAAGTCAATCCATAGTAACATTCGAGTAAAAGTCCATAGAAAATGAGATGGAATGATAAAAGGGTACGCCTTCCTACACGTATCTGAACCTTCGTAAAAGAGCTCATTTTTGGATCGCTGTGACGCCTGAACCCTAGCAACCTTTTCCGTCAGCCTACCGCTCGGCAGTGGTGCGCCTGCACGACAGCCGACCGATGAGTAAAATTTCAGGCACAGTGGATATGTAGAGGTAGAACGGATGTAAAAATGATTCTGCTCATACTTAGCCTTGTGCTTGGTATTTGCGAACGGGCCATCTTCCTCCACGTGATACCTGCTCATAGATAGGTCAAGTCTGGCCCAGTGTGTTCTGGGATGGGTCAGTTGTAAGAGACGGAATCGATTTCTTTGTCGGCAGCGTTGGGATCAAGAACGAAGGATTGCATGCGAGAGCTTTATTTCCGATCCTTTTTATTTTGTTCAGTACGTGTGCGTTCATACTTCGTTTCACTTTGTCTGCAGATTACCCATCAATCTTTTCTGTCTGTCGCTATCCCTGTCCATCGCTCATTACCCACTCTCATTCTCTCATTCTCATTCTCTCGTTCTCATTCTCTCGTTCTCATTCTCTCGTTCTCATTCTCTCGGTCTCTCATTGTTGCTACAGTACAGCACAACCATTGACGTCAATACCTCGACCCTAAAGGCTCCATATACTATTATATACTATTTTTCCTCTCGCCACCTGTTCACGCTTAACCAACCGTGGGACTCAGTTGTTCTGGGCCAAACCAGTGTTTCTGGTTGCCATACTCACTTTCACAGACCCTTTCAGAAGAAATTCTTCCGTAGCCAGCTATGGTGTGCTGCAGGTAAACTAACACTCGATTGTCCATCTTTAATATCGAATTCAGGCCGCCAGTACTGTTGTCTACTGACAGCAATACGACATATGAGATCATGCACTCCGCTGGACAAAAAAGGGATGGATATGCTTTTTGTATGAATGTGTTACAACTGTGTGTATGTTCGTGTAATGCATTAGTGCGGTCTTAATGAAGTGTGAAAAAGACAAACGTGGGATACCTTGTGATGCTGAGACAGACCGTTGCAACGGTCTGCAACACAAAAAGGGATACTGCGGATGGGATGGGATGGGACGGGATGGGAATAGGGCGAAGCAGCAACGAAAAAGAGCAGGTCAATTGTGGAGGAGACCCAGCCATGGGGATTAAGGAAAAGAGGAAAGGGACGAATGCCACTGCAACACCCTCTTTTGATGGCAATTGGTGATGATCATCAACCTTGAGCACCCAATCTTGAATGGTCAGATCATCATCCTTGATCAACCTTGATCAACGGGCTCTCACTCTCATGTGGACATGAAGGCTGTGGATGAGGATGAGACTCATCTCCGTTTTCCCTTTTCTTCCTCCGCCTCTTCATCATCATCTTGATCTTCATCCCACCTCACTCTCATTTCACTTCTACTCCCACCTTGGCTTCCCCCCCACTTCCTTCCTCTCTTTCTGTCCTTCGTTCTTCTCCTAGCTCTCCACCTCACTTGCCCATCTTTTGGTTTGTTACCCTGGTCCCTGAACCGTATATTAACCAACCATGTCCTCCATCTCCACCTCCTCGTCACCCGCCCCTGCTATCCCATCCTCCTCCGGAACCCGCTCTCGCGCCGCCTCCGTCTCGGCCTCGTCGATCCATGGTATCCCTCTCGACCCCAACGCGCCGGCCCTACCCCCCGTACCACTCGCTGGTGCCACCCATTCATCGTTCATTCCAACCAGATACGTCAAGCACGCCTCGCTCATCAACAACTGCTACCCTTCCCGTCCAGATGAGAAAGGACCAAAGTCAAGCGAACTCTCTTACCTGGTCTTTTATGCCACCTCCAAGCCAGCCAAGCTGACCAAGGTTGGCAATTTCATCGAGCGAAGAGTCGCCCGTGATTATCGCAAGAAGCGTCTTTCGTAAGTGAATGTTTATAAATATTACTCTGCATTTCTATCTCGATTTAATTTATTTTTGAGCATCGGCCGCAGTGACCAGTCGTATTATAACGGGCATATTTGAGAGCAGAGGAAAAAAAGTTTCCTTGCTTGTTAATTGGAACAGTACGAATCCAATAGGAGTTGCGAAAGTGCTGTAGTGAACGCGGAAATGGCAAGACGGAAAATTAATAGGATGTAGGAGAAACAATTGTGAGGGCACCCATATCCGTTACATCCAGCGCAATGTAGAGAAGTCTACCTCATTGATTTTGCCATGGCTGTGCAAAAATGCCACTCCCCACGAATCAAATGAGCTCTTTCGCACCGTTTTGTTCTCGTTGTGTTACGATAGGTGTCCGAGGCTGTGGCGACTAACTATATCCTGCCTCTGTTTTTATTGTCTGCTTTGCCATCTGTCCGTCCAGCGATGTACACTGCTCGCTCGAGATCATCCGGTCTCTGATACTCTCCAGCAAAGCTCATCTCAACATCTTTTCAAAGAATGTGGTTGTGATCCTGGACACGCTCCTGGTCGACATCTCGGATTTTGACATCGTACGACATTGCCAGGCCGTCTTTTCGTGCTTCTGCGCTGCACACGATGGCTCGACCTTGGGCGTGGATCTCGAGTTCAGAACTCTCTATGACCGCGTTGTTATAAGATTTGCTGACATTGCGACACGCAGAGGCGAAGAGAACAATCGGTAAAATTGTCTTTCTGTAAAAAAAAAAAAAAAACGGCGGGGCCATTGCAGTTTCATACTCACTACTGTTCATCTACATTTCTTTTAATTGAATCATGCAGTTATCGATTAGTTGCACTCGAGGCGATCCAAGGTGTTGTCTCTTCAACCGCCTTATACGCCTACGACCACAAAGCACAGCTTAGTCTAGTCCTGCCTTCGATTCTCGACTGTCTGCTCGATTCTACAGAAGGAATTCAGGTATGCTTGGATGATTCCGTAAGCCGGACCGCAGCCGCGTCTACTCGTCGATCGGTATCAATTCATGGCACGACTGATCCCGAGAAAGTGATAACAGACGACGATGTCACGGCTGATGCCCTCCAGTGTCTGCGCGCCTTGTTCAATACTCCCAACGGTGGCAATATCACAAGCGCCCTGGGTCCGACATTTTCTTACCTGGATGAACATGGCTGCTGGTGGCCCTCCAACTTGACGGTTGGGATCATCAAGTCGATCTTGAATGCCATCTCACCCCAGTTCCGTTACATGGTCGTGAACGAGGTCATTACTCGTGTTGACAGCGTGGATATGACTACACCAGACTTGACACTGCGACTCCAGAAGAAGGCTACCTTGATTTCAGCTTTGGAGGCCATTTTGTTCTCGCCTCTGACGCTCACTGGAATCCCTGTGCTGGAGATCCTAAACGCTCTCCTGGGGGGCCTCACAAAATCCCTGGCAAGATCTGCGCCCTTGAGCAAAGAAGGTGATTCCAGTCAGCTTCTCGTTCTCGAAACACTCATTCAAGACGGCTTGATTAGGAGTGTCGGTAAGGACATTATCCTCATGTTGGGCCAAAATTTCAATGGCAGCAAAAGGAAGGTCGCGTTCGCTAACCGTTGTTCCTCAACGACCAACAATATTGCTTGCTACTGAAATTTGTTAATTACTAGGTGGTCTTGCAACGCACATTTACTATACGAACCAAGTGCCTCATATCATCTCAAGTATCGTGAGCAAGTTGTCCTATAAGATTGACGCTGTCCCCCAGCCAGAGACCATTGACAGTGTTCCTACTGTGGACTATCGCAAAGCCCTCCTGAGATGTCTGACTGCTGCCATCAAAACAAGCAAGGATCATAACCGCCAAGAATCCAGCTTCCATTCATCAGAAATCTCCTCGGAACTGCTGACTCCTTGTCTTGGTCTGCTGCTGGACGAGAACGTGGAAGTCAGAGCGACATTTGCACAGGCATTGATCACATTCCTCACTACAGAGGATGAGGGCCACAGCCAGGAAACCACAATGGGATCACCCTTGCCTGCTATTTCAAGCGATCTTTATTTCAGAGCCGCCACGCATCAGACCTTGCACTCATACGCACGACTGTCCACAGCCACCCCGACAGATATGACAGCAATCTATGGCATTCTTAGGGCTTTATTCACGCATTTTCAGGATGATGAGTTTATGCGAGTTATTCCCGTCTTGTTCTCGCTGCAGGAATGGTGCTTGCAACAGGATGCCACCGAAGATGCAAACACAAAGAGTCAGGATACGGCTAACACGGTAGCGCGAAAGCGGGCTCTGGCGACAGTGATTGTGATCTATCTGCAAAAGGCTGTTTCCAGCTACGGCATGGCAGAGCCGCTCGAATATCTGGAAAATATCAAGAACTCCCGCGAGAGCGAGTCACAGTGGTACCCGATATACTACGAGAATCAAGAGTGCCTTACGCGGATGACTTGCCAACAGTGGGAGGCGCCTTCAGAACCATTCTATCCAGTGTTGACCCATCCTCTTGCGCGTGAGCACTTGGTGACCCTGCTGACGACTGTCTCTGATCGCTTCAGGGCTGGAGCTGACCGTTTCGGACTTTTGTACAACCCAGAGAGTCAGTCAACTCTGCTTGCGCAGAGTACCAACAACAACCGAGAATTTGGCAACACAGCGTTCCTTTCACCTCTAGGCATCAGTGGGAACCATGGTTCATTGGGCCACAAGTCTGCGCGAAGCATGGACAACCGGATCCGGGTTTCGCGTCATCTGGAGGACTGGGCCTTGCCAAAGATTGTACCGCCATCTTATGGACCCTCGAGCGATTTAACCCCTCCGGATGAATCAGCCGAGATCTCTGCAGAGTCGACTCAGATCAGCCGACGGGGAAGTTTTGCAGGGGACACGAGCGCAAGTACGCAGTCGCATAAGACGATCGGAGTGGACAATCTGAAGGCAGCGCTGAGTGCAGCTCATCTGGGAGTGGATTCCGGCGATACCAACAGCTCATTCGCAGGTAGCGAGTCTCGTGGGGTCTCTCCGGGAGCACAGCGGTTCTATCTCCTTGCGGGTACTGGATCCACTCTGCGGATGAAACAGCAGCAGAGTGCACTAGGTGGTTCGTCCGTGTCGGTTGCGTCCAATCTGGCGATATCTCGGCCCGAGCTAGCAGATCTCCTGAACACGATCCAGGTCGCTGTGTCTGCCAACGATGGCCACCACTCTTTGATGGCTCCGCCTTACTGAATGGTCCAGGAATTTTGTTTTTGTTTAATGCGGTAGTCGGCTTATAATTCTGATAAATAGTAGTAGCGACGAAACGCAAATTCTGAAGATAGTATTCATTTATTTGCCTATTAATGAGCAGTGAGATCCATTCCTTCACATTTCAGTATAAAATCATCAACCTTGCAGCGACTCGCCATTGCTCCTCTTGCTCTACCCTGTGACACACTCTTCGGGACGTTTACTATTGAATGACAATTGGACGAGGACAGCACGACTCGCATCGCATACGCGCTAATGGATCCAAATCCTCTTTTCTACCACTTTGGCAGAACATTTCCTTTTATCTTTCATTTGCCGCGTAGTTAAGGCGCATATCAGCAGCAGCACGCATCTCCTTAACAGAAATGCACGCGACGTGATATCCGCGCAATTCAAGGATCACAGCCGCATATGCAGTGCTATTAAACTGGGCTTGTGTAGCACGAAAGCGTCACGCTCTTCGGTGTTCTCCATCACCCCTGGCATCTTTCTACCTTCGTTCCATCCTTCCCATTCACTTTACATTTCCAATCCTCATCCGCATCTTTCACTTGCTTTCAGATTTTATCTTCGTACTTTATTTCGTTGTTGCTACAGTACTCTGCGTGCCTCCATCAGTCATTATGTCGCGCAGACTGTTTGCCAATTTTTCAAAGTATCGAAACGCGGTCGCCAAGGCTGCTAAGCACGAGGTACACAACCATGGAAAATGAAGAGTGCTTGGCCTGAATAGTACCCCTGAAAGGGAAGCGTCAGCTACATTCCAACCGTGCTCAATTGCTTCTATTTCCTTTCTTGAAGGACGCCTATACGGACTTGAAGACGTCTACGAATGCCTCGACCGACTCGAGCCAGCTAGTCAAAGTCAGCCAGTCCTGGATCGCATTTAAGCACGCCAGTGGAGGTAAATGACGAACGCAGCTGCAGATCGTAAACCCTTTTTGAGCGAAATGGTCTCGTATACTTACAACTCCGGGGGCGATTGCTTCAATGACAACTATCCTCACTTAGGATGTGTCGGGGTCCTGCCAGTAGAACCTATTGGACGTGTTGGACAGAGTGTTCATCAGCTGAGTGCGCACGGTACCGGTGTTGCCGACTGGGAATTTAGTCCATTTGATCCAAACATGCTGATTACCGGCTCAGAAAACGGCGAGGTACGGCACCAGCACATTTTGCAAGTTCAGTAGTTCAGGAGGATGTGAAAAGCTATGTGTCTGATGTTAGTCTTCTTTTTCTTTGCATTGGATTTGTATATGTCTACACTAGCTCAAAGTGTGGCATATATCCGTAGGCGATGACGGTGGAGTCAAGACCGATCTACAGCTCACAATCTCAACTGGCACAGGAAAACCAATTGAGGCTATTCTCCATCATCCCACGGCGCGGGGGGTAAGTAGCGCTGTTGCGAGCATAAGCCGGCCATTATCTTAGCTCATAGGGAGTAAGTCCTCTAACACTACTGAACAACGCTGTGGCTATTGCTGCCTATCGCGAACGATAGATCATTGCGACAGCTTCTCAGAGCGTCGTTCAGATTTGGGATATTACTGGCAAGGATCTAGGATCAACGCTTTCCTCTGCAACCTACACGTTAACACACCCCAACATCGTCTCCAGTTTCTCATGGAGGGCGGATGGCACGCTTTTAGCCACGACGTGCAAGGACACGCTGATTAGGGTGTTTGATCCTCGACAGCAGGAAACTCCTCTTCTGGTATGGTCTTTGACCCATAAAGGCATTCAATTTGATAATATCGACATCTACGAACATAAAATGACACAATCCACACACCTCAGTAATCACTATTGCCTCCTACGATTGCCTTGCTTATTTGTATAGACAGGTCAGGGTCATGCAGGAAACCGTCCTTCGCGCGTTGTCTGGCTTGGCGAGAAGGACCTTCTGTTTACCTTGGGTTTCAACAAGATGAGGGAGCGTGAGACCGCTGTATGGAACGCAAATGACCTCAACAAGCCCTTGGAACTCAAGCGGATGGACTCTTCTTCGAGTCTCATGGTCCCGCTCTACGACGAGGACACCTCTATTATGTTTATTCCCTCGAGAGGTGAATCCACTATACGCTGGATCGAAATCGCAGATCAGGCCCCATACATGACAGAGGGCACCGTTTTTCCTGTCCCAAATGCCGTTGCCGGCGCGGGTCTGGTGCCCAAACAACTTCTGAATGTAATGCAGACAGAGATTGTCCGCATCTTGACTGTGAGTGCCAACAGTCTCTGGCCCGTCAGTGTCAGCATTCCGCGAAGGGTAACTATATATTTATGTTGTTTCTCTTATGAATTCATTAGCCTTTGTCTTGATAGTCATTCTGACATTAACGACTGATGCTCACAACGCCTCGTAGAGCTATCTTGATTTCCATGCGGATCTCTATCCAGAGACGAAATCGACAACACCCAGCCTTGAAGCACCAGAATGGCTGCATGGGGAGAACAAACTCGTGCAAAGAGTGTCGTTAGACCCAGGGATGGCAGGGAAACCTGCATGGGCGCAGCAGGCAACCACACCGCTTTCCTCGAAGGCATATTCAGCACCAGGACCCACGCCCAGCCTTCAGCCCTCGAGAAAGGATCCTTTGGTCACTACACCAACACCAAAGCCAACAGTCGCTGTATCTTCAAGTGCATCCACGACTTCTTCGGCAGCTACGCCTGAGCAGTCTGTTGCACAGTCTGCCACGCTCACCCCTCAGGAAGTCGTCACCAATAAACTTGACTCCCTCACTGTCTCAATGGCGCCTACAAAGGAGGAACCATCAGCTCCCTTGTCCAGGACTGAAACACCAGTTACCTCTCTATCAAGAGCACGATTCTCGGCTTCTCCTGCTGCTATGCGACTCGCCACTCATCAGACTTCCAAGTTCCGCTTCCTGAGTTTCAAGCCATATCATATCAGCCAGCACTTTGAGAGCATCTCTGGATTGAGCATTAGCGCTGTCCCTGAGTGCAACCTAATCGAAGTAAGCGTTGAAAATGGTTTTTGGGCCCTTAATTAGCGCGGACCGAATTCATGGATCAAAGAGGCGCTTGATCGACCTTTTGAACGCGTGCGCTGAACTTTGTAAAACTAACGCTACACTTTGTTTACTCAATATCCATCGCTAACTAGGTCAATCACAAGTTTTTGGCACTACCGCTGCAAGGCACTGGAGGTCGGATCGGGATTCTGAGGGCTTCAGAGCCTGGTCGCGTAGGCAATAAGATCCCTTCGTTAGTTTGCTCTGGGGATCTGATGGGCTTCAAGTTCGATCCCTTCGACCCAAACTTGCTTGTGACGGCGTCTGAAGATTGCAAAATCAAGGGATGGGTTATTCCGGACGATGGACTTGACAAGGAAAACGACGTGACCAAGCCAGATTGGGTGCTTGGTGCCCCTACCATGGAAAAGATTACCCTGGTATTGTTCCACCCACTTGCGAAAGACGTTCTCCTGTCAGCTTCTACGGATCGCGGCGATCCCACCTTGAGGTTATGGAACCTGGAGGCCCAGAAGGAGATGATTGCTATCAAGGGCCACAGGGATGTGGTAGGATTTATGACTGAATTTTTTTGTACCTGTACTGGAGGAGATGTGAATCATAGATATTGACATTCTATTTCGTCGTGTACAAGATCTTCAGCTGTGCGTTTAACCATGATGGGACCAAGATCGTGTCTGTATGCAGAGACAAAAAGATCCGTGTCTTTGAGGCGTTGTCCGGCAAGCTGCTTCAGGAAGGCCCTGGCCACGACAGTCTTCGATCGAGTCGCGTGCTTTGGCTTGGTGAATCCAATGTAGTTGCTAGCGTGGGCTTTGGAAGGTAAGAGCCGATGGCCATCTATTCCTCGCATGTCGCGATCAACCTGTTGGGCCTGGCTCAAGGCGAAACTAATTCTCGTATGATGCATTGATAACTCTGCATTAATAGAGGCAGTCAGCGCGAGATTTTGTTGTTCAATGCGAATGACCTTGGCAGTGGTCCAATCGACAAGAAGTTGATGGACAATTCTCCTGGCGTACTTGTCCCTCACTACGATCCAGATACGTCCATTCTTGGTATCTCTGCGCGCGGTGACCGAGTAATGAAGCACTTTGAGATCGTCCTTAGTCCCAAAGATGAGAACACTAAAGGAAAAAGCATGTTTGTGGATGTCGCCAGTCTTGAACAAGGAACTTTGCAGCAGGATGTCACCTATCTGCCCAAGCGCTACTGCGATGTTCGGGAGGTGGAGCTGGCCAAAATGTACCGCTTGACCTACAATAGTGTCGAGGTTATCCGTGTATCGGTCCCCAGAAACAAGACCGAGTACTTTCAGGACGATCTGTTCCCGGATACTGTCGATTTCGAGACCGCGGCCATGGAAGCACAGGATTTCTTTGCAGGCACTGTTCCTCGAATGCTTCCAAAGATTTCTCTTTGTCCGGTCGACATGGAATCATGTAAGCGCAATTTTCATTCACCCTGGTATGATATGCGCGTAAGGCTCCATAAAAACACTACGAGGCTAACAATACTATATTCAAATAACTGTATTTTGAGATCAGTATCGCACCACATGGCAACGGCTCCAGCCGCACCCCAAACCAGCGGCAACTCGCTTGACAAGTTTATGCAGGGCAGGCAGCAGGCGGCAGATGATGAAAGGAAGCGGTTGGCGATGGAACGCATGTTTGAGACGGCCAAGGAGTCTAAGGCCGACCGGGATACCCTTGTTCCTGACACCGGCGTTGTCAGTGACGATGAGTGGGATGACTAGCCCCAGATATAGCAATAAAATCGCGCAAGCATATTTATTTATTAAGATAGATCGGCCTGGATGACTGTGCGGACTGGATAGTGGTCGCTGTATTCGTGATAGGCGACTGATTTGAGGATGTACTCGGGAGAGTGGACGAGGAGGCATGTCTGGACAGAGGATTTAACGGCTTTATGCTTCTTGTCAGTGAGGACAAAGTCAATGTATTCTGGTGAATCATTTGGATAATTGTAATGAGCAATGTCGTTCGTCTGCGTATCCCAAGTCCATGGGTGACCATCGTAGGTCGTGGGTTGGTTGGCGTTCAGACGCGTAAGCATCGAACTGAACTCTGCAGTGTCTCGCTTGATGTTAAAGTCGCCTGCCATGATAATTAACTCGTTGGCAGCGATGTTACGAGAATCGATGTACGACCGCCAGGCATCGAGTTGACTAGCACGACAACTCGCGGCTTCGCCGGACGAGCACGCAGAGTCATCGCTCTGCATGTGTGTACCAAAGACATGGACATTCGTACCGTTATAGTCCAGGACGACATAAGCGAAGCCCTTGTTGGAGAACCTGAAGAATGAGATGAATCATCGTCAGTCAGTGGTAGCGCAAATCATTTTATAGCACGAAGGAAGAGCAGCAAATGTGGAGAAACGTACCAGTCGGCTCCGCAGGCGCGCTTATAGATAAACTGGTTTTTCTGGGTCATAGGCCACTTGCTTAGGATGACAACACCGCCGTTCTCGGGCGCCGTGGTGGAGTATGAACCAGTGGTTGAGTCCCAACCACTTTTGGTTTGTCCGACCGTAGGAGTTTGGTAAGGATCTAATATGAGAATATGAGGCGAATAAAGAACGGAATTCTAGTAAGTTTTATGTGCCAGAGGGTGTTGCTACAGCACGCATTTTGTTTAAGCACTTACATTGCGAGCGAAGGCCGTCCCTGATGATTCCACAGGGGTCAGAATCAAAACATTCTTCAAGCACAATAACGTCGTGGCCCTTGACATAGTCCGAGTTGACGATCAGTTGCGCCCTGGTTCCTGAAAAAATTCACAGCAAGGGTTTAGAATGGATTAAGGTCATACGCACGATACCTTGTAAAGGAGTGACTCTTACTCTGTCCCCAATTAGGATAAAGCGTCTCGCTGAGGAAGTAGACGTTGTTGGTCAAGATGCTGAGGGTCGCGTTCTGTGCAGCCGCAGAAAGCGAGGGCATTAATGCGGTGGCAACTGCAGCCAAGGGGAAGAGAGATGCGATCTTCATGCTGGAAGAGAGAGATAGGCTGACGCTGAAGAGTAGGCTGGAAGGGTAGGGACAGGTGGGATATCGCTTCACTGAAGACTACTATTCATTCTGCCCCTTCGACCGCTCTTTTATAGAAACCCAGGACCAGGCAAGACGGCTGCTCGGGCGGCGCAAAGATTTTGCTTATAATCTTTTTGAATAACTCAAACGGCTGCAAGTAAGAGTAGGTGACACCAAAAAAGCAACCAAGCAAGAGACTCAATCATTTGTGCATGCGCGCAAAGCATTCGCGCTTATGGGTGCATAACAACGCATCAAGAGGCGTTTTCGATGAGGGACAAAGTTCAAACTTCAGATTCTTAGAGGGAGAGATGGCCAGCCAGGCTATCTAGTACAGATCAACTATACTACATAGCCTCACACGAACTATAGTCCGTATCGCCATCAATGGGAGCATAGATATATGTGTACCTGTATGTTCTTGGGAGTGGTCGTTTGTGTTAGCCCAGCGGATATTTCAACGGTTACTTAATGACTAAGTTGAAGTTATTAGCTGCTTGTTGTAGTTGACGATAATAATGCATGCGTCTTAAGAACTATTTACGTCGCGCACGCCTGGCGTTAAAGTCTGGAGGTGTGAAAAATAGCAGTGTTCACATGCAGTCGTACTATCTACCCTCTTCAAGCTATGAAACCTGAAGTGAGTGAAGGAGCGAGTAACGCGGCACTGGGCCAAATGAGCAGCTTCAGTATCGAAGATCCCTGTCATCCATTCAGGAGCCAGAGTTTATACAAAGTACCCTCCCCCATACACACATCTAAGAAGAAAGTGCCACTGCTGACACGCTGGGTTAAATTCGTTGGGACATACCAGGCGTCCCTGGAACGATCCCTTTGATTTGCATGCACTCATGTACATACATTAAAAAGGTATATGGACTGATGAGAAAATACAGCCGTGCTTGTAGACTGGACTGGACTGGACTGGACTCTTACGCACACTCTCTTTATCGTACATTCGCTTGTATTCTAACGTAATAAGAAGAAAAAGACGAGAACACGAGTCATTCGACTTTTAGTCGCACAAGCAAGGAGGGTGTAGAAAGTGAGGAAATGGGTTGGACGAGGCCTGGCCAATCGGACTTGGTCTTCATCCTTATGTCTGCCAATCGCAGTTCTTTGACGACTGTTGCGGAAGAAAGCACGAGAAGTAGTAGGCCCCTGCAGCAACCGAAGCAACCGGTCGAGTTCTTGGTGTGCCTGGCGACATCCAATGGTCAACGCGCGTGTGGAAAGAATTTCTCCAGACAGAAGTCTGAGTGGAGCACATTAAGGTTCGTTTGTTTATTGCTGGGCGCGGAATGTGGACATGTAAGCAGATCAAATGATGTGCCTCGGCGTGTGAGCACTTCAGAGGGACAGGGGGGCTGTTCGTCCGTTTGTCATACCATATCCAGTCCTTCCTTTCGTCTACTGCATCATTAATGCAACCAATGCCGTTAATAAGATATTTACCGAGTCTCTAGACCGTCGCCTCCTTACGGATCGAAAAAGCAAAATGAATGAGAATACAGAGAAAAACGCTGCAATTTGAACACGCCAGAACGTAGATACCATAGACGTGTTAATATGATACAAAGGCGGAGAACAACAGCTGCATCTTATTTTTATAGAGCGTATGGATGGTAATACAGCTAAGCATGGTCCAGCAGCCTCTCGATATCCTCGGCCAGACTGCTGGGGTTTGTCGCAGAGGAGTATCGCCCATAGACAACTCCGTCTTTGGAGACCAGGAACTTTTCAAAGTTCCACTTGATTCGCGTCAAGCCCAGAAGCCCAGCCTTCTGGGACTTCAGAAAGGTATAAACAGGATCTTCTTGACTGCCATTGACGTCGATCTTATCCATCAGTGGGAAGCTCACTCCGTAGTTTACTTGACAGAACGACTCGATCTCTGTGGTACAGGTGGCAGAGTGTACAGAAGTGAGGAAAGTAGACTGAAAGTCAGTAATTAGATAGATAGCGCTAGCATTATCTGGGAGGAAAAGAAGCCGTTAATTACCTTCCATTGTACCGGGTTCCTTGATGAGGGTAAGCACAAGAAAGCACGAACAGCAAGCGCATAGTTAGATAGGTGACTAACAAGTGGATATCCGAGTACACCGACTCTGGCGTCTGCCTCCAATATTACCTGCTTTCCAAACTGGTTGCACGGAAACCCAATGATAACAAGACCTCGGTCCTTGTACTTCTGGTAAAGTTCTTCCAGCTCCTTGTATTGTGAAGTGAAGCCGCACTTAGAGGCAACATTGACGACGAGGATAACTTTGCCAGTATAGTCTGACATATTCACTTCCTTGTGGCGCTTGTCCTTTGCTTGAAGATCGAAAAAGCTGGCTGGTGAAGGTGCTTTGTTCTCTGCTCCTGCACCGGCAGCAAACATGAAAACGGCAGAGGAAGTCGAAAAGGAGCGGAGAGCCCGCGATGCCAATACGCCATGTGTGAATCTCGGAGCGACAGCGACCCTCGTAGGAATCCGTGCGGCCACGATACTAGCCCTGGAGCGCGCGAGTCGAACAGCCAGGGAAGAGATAGATCGACACATTTTTGAGGAGTATTTTTTGGAGAAGTGATTCAGGTAGTATGTAGGCAGTAAGCATTTAAAAAAAAAAAAATGACGTCACCAAGATCGGATCAGATTGAGGTGAAATCGCCAGCATGGACGCGGGATCAACGAGAAACACGCCAACAGCAGCACCGCCACCATCACAAGGAATAGCTCGAACGCATTACAATGAGCTTCGAGGGTCTCGACCGCCTGTTGGTTGGTTCCGTCCAGACCGCATGTGCCAACCTGACCAACCACCTTAATCAGTGTTTCGAATCAGATGTCCATGCAAAGACATTTTATGAGTTCCTGCCAAGGCTCTGCCAAATCCTCTTTGGCTCAAAGGAATCACGGTACGCGGCCATCTTTGGCCCAGTTTGGCGTTGTTTACCGCGCTTCCTCCGAACACTCAGACTGATGCATATTGGCATGCACTTTTTTTTTTATTTGTAGGGGCTGGTTGCATTTGCCACTGTCGAAGGCAGAAGAAGACCCGCTTTATGAGCTGATCCGTCCAAGAGGAGTCCTCATGCGGTTTCTGCTGAGTCGTTATACGGATACCGGGTTCATTTACGAGATGGTGCCAGACTCTTTGCCGGTACGGCAATTGTCTACAATCGGATGTCAATGCAGTCCATGGATGCAGGATTACTGACAATAGCGTCTATTCTTGTTCTTTTTACTTCCACGACTTTCAGAAAAGGACGCAAGCAAAGCTGGATCCGACCCAGTACCTTACCCTCCCGCCGATCTATCTTTCCCGCGTCAATCTCGTAAAAGCGACAACGCCTATTGGAGCTCAAAAGACCATGGCCCAAATCACCAAAGTCAATCTCAATTTTAGTAAGTTGGCTTCGATAATACTACTGGAGCTACTCTGGCAAAACTGGCGTCGCAATTAGAAATAATGACTTACGAATGATCTGTGTTACGCGCCTCACATTAGATATGTTGGAGTACTTCTTATTTTACTTTGCATACGCTCTTACTCTGGACGATGACGATGTCAATGGCCGTGGAATGCGCAGGGTAAGAATGGCGGGGATTATCGACGGCATTTTCGGTTTGGTTGTTTTAATATGTTTCTTCAGACTAACTCTGCTGTGGTATTATGTTATCTGGTAGACCGATCCAAAACTGGCGTTCAGGATTAATGGTCCGATTGCTGGTGCCGCTGCGCCAGGCACAGGACGGCCATCAGACTGGGTATCAGGAAGCTCACCAAAACCACTAGTCTCGCGCGTACTTGTCGATGGCTCATTTTTCAATCTGTATCACCAATATCTTCACTACTTTATTCCAGCACCAGAGAGAACGAAGGACGGCACTGTCATTACTCCAGAGACAAATACGCCGCAAAAGCCGCTCAATGTCTTTAATGACCAAATCATTGAAAATTCCATCGACCGACACCAAACACAACTCTCCATATCGGAGTTCTTTATCGGCACGCTGGTCGAACTTTGGTTAGGACAGAATGATAGGGCTGTGGACAACAGGGTATGGTCTCTCAATACACATGTGGAACCAGAACATGACTGCTCTTTTCTAAATCAAGGCTTTAACACGGGATTGGAAACATCTATTGATACTCATAGACGATCCGATATGTGCAGCCCGGCGCCGATATTGCAGATTGCATCAGCGCACTAATCTCCCATCTGTACGCGCACGATGTCTCGCTGTATGTCCTTGGAGGCGATCAGGTCCCGAGCCATATCATGGATTCGGCAGGAAAATCGGTCTTGAATCTCGCAGGCATGGCTAGAAGGAGCGCCTATCAATATATCCGACCCCAGCTGTACGTTTTTCTGAACGTGGGGCTCCAATTTTGGCCACTTGACGACACCTTCCCAAGTTTGATCGACACTTGGATGACCTGGATCACGCCCTGGCGGTATGGTCGACGGGACCCGTCCGTTACTGGCGATGTGGTTACTGCGAAATGGCAAGTTTCTGGATGTTTTATTGCAGCGCGAAATATGTACCACTGTTGCTTGCGGCCCTGTGGTTGTTTTGATTAAGGAGCTAATTTTTATCTACGGATACAACACTATAGGCAGCCATTCATATTCGACAATCTCTTGTTTTATACAGCACTACTGGAGATCTATTTACCCCGCCTGTCGCATCCTCTACAAACCAGTCGGTCGTTGGCAGTGCCAGCGCCTATGACATTGAACAAGGAACTGCGATCGATTCAGAAAGTGATGAGAGTCTACAAGGCGCAGAACCTGAAGGAGATCTTGAAGATTGCAGAGCAAGCAATTGTATGGCCGGAAAACTTTTCCGATTCATCCTACGCTGTGTTTGAATCGTCCACCGAGGGGGGACTTGCGGGTGCTGGATCTGGTCGACCGGATGCCACTTCTGCGTTTCTCTCATCGATGGTCAATGCTCTTCAGAGACAATTGCAGCAGCTGGAAAGCCCTCAATACAAATATGACGCCTTGTTCTTGGTAGAAGGATCGGGACGTAGCAAGGTAACCCGATTTTTTATTATGTGAACTATATCACGCTAAGGACATACAAAGCATAGCAGTGCTGATATTTCCCCCTTTCTTTTTCCCCCACCACTGTATGGTCCGCAGATCCGTATGATATTGACAAAGCTCGGAAATGCAGTGGATGTGCGGCAGGAAAAGCTATCTGCTCTGGAAGCGAAGAACAAACCAACATCAGAGCAGCTCTCTGGCTGGAGCGCACTCTCGTCCGCGATCAGCAACATGTTAAGCCAACCTCCACCCAAGACAGCCGTTGTGGACCCAGCAATCTATGTTCGTGAGCTCAAAGGACTACGGGACATGATGAGCCTAATTGGCGAGGTCTTTGACCTCTATCCGAGCGTTGTCACTTCATTTGAAAAACAACACCAGGGTACACAGGACCGTGGAAGCACAATCACAGTAGAGCAGTTAGAATCGCTCGTGCCACCTCTAGAAGAAGAGGAAGAATCAAGGTTGCTGGGACCCGAGAGACAGCGCAAGTATGTGCCTCGTGGTTTAATCAGGAGGCCAGCTGACGATTTAAAAGGGTCTGGACCACGATCGGAGGAACTGGTGTTGACGTATGAAAGCGAGTTCCTGGTGAAGCTGGCGCGGCAGGCTGAGGATCACTTAGCGCCCAAGGTAACCTAGCTGCTTTCTTGCAGTAACTGGACTTGCGCTGATGGTTTAGATAATAATGACGGTGCTGATATATTTTCTTCTGTCTCTGGCTTTGTGTGCATATAGTGGCAGAATGCGGTGAGGCGAGTGCATGGGTGGATTCCTCTACCTCAAAAGGTCGTTTCGAGCAGAGTGCATCTGCGGTGGTTGGCAGCGATCCCTAACTTGACAGCACTTGCGACAGTTATATTGGCAATTCTCGGGTTCTACATGATTTCCGCATATCTATCATCTCTAGGACAGCATATGCCTCGTCATAGTCCGCAGGAGCCGCACATTAACCGGAAGGCAGTAGAGACCGATGGTCCAGTGCTGGGCCGGTATGATGCCCATGTGCAGCCAGTGCAGCCTGTGTATCGGTGGGAGAAGCCTGGAAGCGGACAGACGACGCTTGGATCTCATGGGTCCCATCATGGACAGACGGTTAGGACTCGACCTTCACGGACAGCAGCGACCGTGGAGCCTCGTTACACGATTGAGTTGCACGGCATTTAAGAAGAGTCCGGTTCAATTCAGGCCAGCAATCCTAATAAACTCTGCTTGAAAGCATACGTGAAATGAACAAATAGTGCCTTATGCTTTATGCTTATGCTAGGTTGTTTTTTTTTTTTTTTTGTAGAAGTTTCAAGATTAAAGCGGTTTCAATTGACAGTGAGATTTATTCAGTTGAAGGGAGATATAATACATTCAGCGGAAACAATAGTACAGCTCATTTGCAATCGAAGAGAAGAAAAGCTGGTTACAGGGAAAAATAGAAAGCCAGGCAATGCTATGTGAGTGTCATGTATCATTGTCGGTGCTTGAAATCTGGCTTGGACAAAGCTTAGGTACGCTCGCCACGGAGACGACGGGCGAGATGGATATCCTTGGGCTGGATAGTGACACGCTTGGCGTGAATGGCTGCGAGATTGGTGTCCTCAAAAAGGGAGACGAGGTAGGCCTCTGAGGCTTCCTGGAGGGCACCGATGGCTGAGGACTGGAAGCGGAGGTCGGTCTTGAAGTCCTGGGCGATCTCACGGACGAGACGTTGGAAGGGCAGCTTACGGATCAGGAGTTCGGTCGACTTTTGGTAGCGACGGATCTCGCGGAGGGCGACGGTACCAGGGCGGTAGCGATGGGGCTTTTTGACACCTCCGGTGGCGGGGGCGGATTTGCGAGCAGCTTTGGTGGCGAGCTGTTTGCGGGGGGCCTTTCCTCCGGTGGACTTGCGGGCGGTCTGTTTGGTACGGGCCATGGCTAAGTGTTATTTGGTAGGTACCACATTTAGTGAAGTACAAGTGCCATAAAAAAAATCAAGTGCAAAGTGATGTCCAACCATAAATGCAACTGGACGAAATGAGGTGAAGGAGACAGATGGCAACAAGACGGAGAAAGGAGAATGTCTTGAAGACGAAGAACATAGCGCAACTGCCATCCTTAAGACAGTTTTGTAAGCATCCTGTACCTTTTATATAGAGTGAGGGGAAAATAGGATGTGTGCGGGAAGGGAAGTGTGAAAAAAGGCGGAGTCGCTTAGTATATGAGGGAAGGAAGGAAGATAGGCAAGCCACTTCCGGCAGGTCCCCTGCCCAAAAGAAAAGCGCAAATCGCCATATATTTCAATCGTTGCCGAGGGGCTGTCGACTTGAACGATTCTTTTTTGGAGCAGAGGACCGAGGAACAGACAGCAATTCACGCAGCTGAGGGGATTGCCACTCCTTCTTGCTTGGATCCAAGAGGAGCCACTCAGAACTGGACCTTTTCTTATTTTTCATCCGTTCATTCTGTAAGGAGGAAGACAGAAAGCAGAGATTGTGTTCCAGTTGCCTTTTTTTTTTTTTTCCAAAAGTACGATACGTACTAAGGTTATCGGGCTCAGAAGTACGGGATGCAGAGCGAGGCTGATGGGAATGAGGTTCCTGAAGGACGCATGTACAAGCAAAAGGAGAGTCGGCTCTTCCTATAGGGAGTTGCTTAAATACCCAGGGGAAATGGGTCGTGTTAGTTTACTGAGTCCTACTCTATCTGACTCTATATCCGTCAGCGAGGCATACCTGCATGGCTGGAAACAAGAAAAGAGCGCGCTGCGGTGCACGAGCAGCAAGACCATGCTGCACTGCATTATTGCTGTTGTTGTTGTTGCTGTTATTGTTGATAATGATATTCCCTCCCCTTCGTCCTAATCCCTGTTGTGGATAATCTGTTAGACTATGTGTGGTTCCCCCCTTCACGTCCAGTGCTCATTTCTCATGCTCCGGACCACATGTGCATGTAGTTTATGCAGTCTACAAAAAGAGTATTTCCTGCTTCCTCAGATTCTCCCCTTCTTCTTTGTCTTCCTCCTGCTGCCCCCCTGATAAACAGACGAATGGCCTGCATTGTCAGCACTGCATGGCTGCTTGTCATCTTGATACCGATCATTCGATGGAGAATTCAACAGCGCCATTAAAGAGGATCATCGAGGGCCAACTGACAATCGGTGACAGGGATCTCATGTATAGCTGACAGCTGTTAGTGATAGATCAACAGATCGACTCGACTTATTCGCACAACTCTTCGGCTTCCACTCTCGGCAGCTCCTGTTGCTGCTAATGCACCCTGTCGTATGGTTCTTTGTCCGAATGCAATTGAGTCAACCATGAATGAACTCTTTCATTCTCCATCAGCCATGAAGGTATGGGGAACAACAAGAGAAATGAGAACAACCAGATAACCATTGATCCATTGAGCCATCCATTGACAAGACGGTGGTCTGCCTACATTGTATTGTGTCCGCATATTCTACTCCTCGCCCCCTGTTATTAATATTTCCGACCGCGGCCCCCTTCGTTTCCTTTCCTTTTCCTTCCAGCCCTCAGATTATTATTATTGCTTCGATTAGGTCCACCACTGCTATCCTTTCAGTTGCTCCCATCGACACAACCTTCTTTCTCCCCTTCTCCGATTATCTTTTTCTCTCACTCTTAATTATTCTCGTACCTCTCTCTCTCTCTCTCTTTCTCTCTCTCTCTCTCTCTCTCTCTCTCTCTCTTCCCTCTCTCACCCACACACCCACCCACTTTCTCTCGCACCTTTACTCATACTCTCCACCTTTCGTTTTATCCACTGCCCACACACACACTCTCTCCTCCCTTCCCTTCCCCCCCTTCCCTCTTCTCCTCTAGTACAATAGACTTGCAGTGCCATTGTAGCAATTGCAGGACGCCCACACTCTCGTCCCTCTTTTGTCGATCTTGACGACGAGGTAGGTCCCATTCCCAGGCTGAGCCACTCCCTCCGCGCAGCCCCTCTCTCGCTCGTTCGCCCATTTTCAGTGCTTTACTCCGAGTTATTGACACTTCCAGCCAGCATCCGTCATCCACTGTCTTCCTCTTACTCGCTCCTCTTGCTCCTCAATCCACAACTGGAGTATACCACCCATCTGACACAAACACCCTGCAAACGCGATCTTTATCTTCCCCTGGCCATGCCGTATCGCAAGTACCACCGACTACTGGAGGAAGGGTCTCCAAAGACGGAGCAGGATCGGTGCTTTAGACTGGAAAGAGGAGGCGACAAAGCTCTTGCTGCAGTTCATCCATAATATTCCGCCCAGCGCCATAACACCTGATACACTTCGTGAACCTTTTCTGTCCTCTGCATCGCATGTTTGTTGTATGTATACATGTCTCCCTTCCCCTGTTGCATGTTTTATGCACATATAAAAGTGCATTTTCGTCTCATACTTGCTGTCTCCTTTCGCTTCGCTTTCTTTTTTTAAGCCTGCTTGATTGCTCTCCCTTTCCCTCCTGTTGCCTCCCACTTTCCTCAAATCCATCGACCTCACTCCAACGCTCTCGATTCTCAACGCTTTCCACTCCCTGCAACAGTTTCGCTGCTCGCTCGTTCGCTCGCCCCTTGACCCTCCTATATCAGGCCGGTTGAAGCCATTTTCACAGTAAGAACCGTAAGAAACACCTCTCATCTTGTTCTCGCGCGGGAATCGCAGAAGGAAGACCTATCCTCGCAACTCCTCTTCTTTCGCGGGAGTGTCTACACTCAGTAGTCTGCTTCCTGTCATTCTAGAGCCTGATCTTCATCCGGGTCTATTCTCTTTTTAAGCAGAGGTGGATGCGGTCGGCTCTTTATGTGAAGATTGCTTCGGTTGACATCGCTTATCTGGCGATACTCACATTCGCACACCCAGACAGACGACAAAAACACCACAAAGCCAGTGAAAGGAAAAAAAGGAGCGAGATCGGTGTATGGTGTGAAGGGAAAGGAAAGAAAGAAAGTGCTCTCGACCGTTGAAGTGCAAAGTAGAAGCAGCTGAGCCCTATTGAGCCACCACTTCGCCTGACGCGTTTCGCCTCTGTTTCAACTGCAATTAGAAACGCTTTATGCAGCAGGACCTCCCTTCCGTGCGTTTCTGCCACCAATCCTGAACAGCATTCCGCGACGCCCAAACTCATTATATCATCGCTACTCTCAGACTGAACAGCGCTCACTTACTCAATCCACGCGATGCCGGAGCATACCGACAGGCGACGATCTTGGTGGGGGATCAATGTGACCAGTGATAAAGCGCACCATGCGGAGACTAGTACACGAACTTCCCAGCCAGACCTCCTCAAGAACCGCATCATTGACAGCCTGAATGACACAGCACCCAATGCAACAGCCAATGGAATGGAGCCAGAACCAAAAGCAGGCCCAGGGGCAGGTCTCACCCATGATGAGCCATCAGTCTTGCGACGCGTCCCATCCAAAATGGATCTCCTCAAGAGATCTTCCATCCCCAAGCGTATAAAAGTCAAGGGTGGATCAAAATTTGCCACCATTACCACCGCTTGGTCCTCGAATCGATCCACACTTCCCGGGAAAGGGACCATAGGCTCGATTTCGAGCACCACTGTCGACATAAATCACTTTGATAGCATGGCCACCGAGGACCAGGATGATGCTATGGTGTTCAACATTTCTGAGCAACAGGAAATGATCGATGGCGAGCGAGATCGGGATGTGGTGCGTCTACTGCTCTAGCCGATTGGGGATAGAACAATTAAATCGCCCAAGGTATTGACATCGACAACTGAAAGTTCAGGGTTGTAACCGCCTTCATTCTTTTGTTCCCTTACTTCTTCAAGGCGTACACAATCCGTGCTGAAGGCATCACCAAAATCATCCTGATAACTAGGCGCATTACAGACTTTTTGGAGTTTGATGAAAAGGTATCCATACTATTCGACTGATGTGGTGTTCATGGCGATGAAATGAGTAATAAGGAATCTAAATGTCTCTTTTATCTTTCGGACCCTGGCGATTACCAAGGTGCGACAACAATTCCCGAAATGCCGGCCAGCCCTACCATTGCTAGATGACCGACGAAAGTCCTTTCTTGTCAGCACGCGTCAGTTCTTCTTTCCGCGAAAGAATACGGCCGAGAAACTGGAGGCCTACTTACGCAAGGTGGCATCGCATGAGCCTTTGAGAAGCTCTTCTATCTTTCAATCGTTTCTGGCGGTCTCACAGGAGGGTGATCTGGTGCACTCCAAGGAGCAGCCTCATCACACAGCACGATATTCCCCAACTCAAAAGTCTCAGTGCGACCTCAGCTTGGGTAATACAAGTGGGTCGGGTGAGGATGCGCCATCGTCCTTAGCTCCAGCAGTTACAGTGCAGGTATCAAACCAAGATAAGCTGGAAGAGGCGGATATAGCACGGAAAGAGGTTGTTCCCAGGATGCGCGGAAGCAAAGTTCGACCAGCACTACCACAGATCCCTGAACGCAAGAAAATCTCCATAGAGGATTTCTTACTGATCAAGGTCCTTGGAAAGGGCTGCATGGGCAAAGTATGATCCTGGCGATATTCTATGGACGTCTTAGACTTGGATTTGCTCTTAGCGTTTGGACTAACGCTGACTTCATTGTTTCCTATCTCCTGAACATTAACTAGGTGATGCTGGTTCGGGAGCACAAGAGCAAAAAGCTGTTTGCACTCAAAGCAATCTCCAAAGAATGGGTCATTTTGCAGCGTGAAATTGAGCATACGAAATCAGAACGCGACATCCTTGCCAACGTGGCGCAGATCTCGCATCCATTCTTGATTAAGCTCCGGCACTCATTTCAGTCCAATGCACAGCTCTTTATGGTTCTGGACTACTACCCTGGGGGAGACATTGCGACGCAGCTCGCTAAATGGTACCGGTTCAAACCCGAGCGATGTATGTTCTACGCTGCTGAAATCGTTTTGGGCATCGAGGAGTTGCACCGCCAGGGAATTGTCTACAGGTATGAATAGTCAATAATGACTAGGCGCCGTCGGTGTAGTATTTGTTAATGTGCCCGATTGACAATACCCAAATCTTTGGTTTCTGCGACAACAGGGACCTGAAACCAGAGAATATTCTCCTTGCACTTGATGGACACATCGTCCTGACCGACTTTGGCCTTTCGAAGCAATTCTCAGCGTTCTCAGCATCATCTCCCTATTTGGCAGAAGAAAAGACCAACACATTTTGTGGAACTGCTGAATATCTCGTATGACTCTGTCTTCTCTTTGCTGGTATTAATGCGAAGTGATGTCCACATTTGTTGAAAGACATCTACTCAACTTGTTACCTTTACATTCTTGAACCGTACTAGGCCCCCGAGATTCTTCGAGCGGCCGAATATAGCTACGAGGTGGACTGGTGGAGCCTTGGCACACTGCTTTACGAAATGATGGCCGGAATTGTGAGTGTTGTTTTCTGAGTACTATTTTATTGAATAGTATGAATGGTGCAGATTAAGAGCGCTGTGCTAACCCATACACGATCTACCCATGTCTTCTGTAGACTCCATTCTGGGCAGAAAACCATGCTTATATGTACCAGCGGGTGTTGGAGGACGCCCTAGAGTTTCCTCCAGAAATTTTTCAGGACGACCCATATGCAGTCGACTTCCTTGTCGGGGTATGTTATCTAAGGTGCTGCAACAGAGAATTTGCGCAGAGGAGTGCCTTGTCGCTAAACTACGCTTTTACGAATATTAGCTCCTTGAACGTGACCCTAGGAGCCGCTTGGGAAGCCTAGGTGCTAGCGACGTCAAAGCACATCCATACTTTCGGATGATTGACTGGGAAATGGCGATGCAGAAAAAGCTGCCTTGTCCATACATTCCAGAGTTGACCTCCGAGGAAGACTTGAGCAATTTTGATGATGCTTTCTTGACTATGACACCACGGCTCTCCCCAGGCAATCACACACTGAGTAATAGTATACAGAACTGTTTCCAAGGCTATTCATATACAGACAAGATGGCGAGCACACTCCCGCGCAGTGACAGCAAGATTCGGTTGGACAGGTCCAGGGACCCGTCTTTAGGGTCATATGTCGAGGAATTTGACTATGACGCAGCAGCCACAGCCACAGCCGTTGCTGCAACTGCAGCTATGAGAGTGGAGATCAATGACCACCATTTAGGTAATGGACACCAACCTCTGTATCGATCACCGCTGCAGCAGATGAATACAGGCAACACGGATATGGACAGTGATGTGGAAGACGAAGAGATATGCCAGTACAGGCCACTGAAGCAGTTGTATTCGCCTCCGAGTGCGGCCATCTCTGCCTACATCGAGACAAAGGCCCAGGCCACGACTCCAACACTGACATCACCAGCAACGTTTCCCGAAGATGGTCGCTTGCCTGTGGAGCGGATCTCTGTTGGACGCATTGGTGCAGCAGCAGATATTTTACGTGGATATTCTGAGCGGAGCAGCATTGATACGCATAGACACAACAGCACAGGGTCAGCGAGTTCGAATGGGACGATTGGTCGTCGTCTAAGTAGAGGTTATGTATGATTACATAATAAAAAAAAATTAACGAAGATACTACTTCACTCCACCATGCACTATGTTTGAGGACCGCGTAAAGAAACGCGTGAAAGGACGCGCAGAGACACATATTATTGAAAGATGCGTTCGCACACGCGTCTTAAGAGGACATGTCCCAGATGGGTTTTCCTGTCAGATTAGGACTGGAGAAACTTTATTGCCGGAGTTGTGTTACCGTGAGGACATGCGCATGGGAGGCAAAACGTGGCATGGAAAAGAGAACCGGTGATCGAGAGAGCAAGAAAGGGGGAGGGAGTTACAAATGCACCATAACCATACACACACAGACGATGATGATGATGATGATGATGACGATAATGACCACACGCACACCTTGCGAGTGCACCAGGTGCAAGCAACATGAATATGTACTCGTCCTGTGTCTTAACACAGGCTCAGGCACTGATTGACTGACAAACAGTCCGCGTTCAACTCTCTCTTGGGAGGATGACAAAGAGATCTAGTCCCATCATTCAAAGGCTGATGCCCTTGATCAATGGGTCCATGGTCAATTAACATCAGACCAGACCACGAAGGGTCATCCATACATCACGAAGAGAGTACAGCACTTTTAGGTTAGTTGCTGATCAGCTGGTGACAGCCCCTTGTGTGAGTCTGTCCCTCTTTTGAGGGCTTGATCATTTCTATTCGCATTTTCAGTCTCACACTCCACACTCGCACTCACACTCGCACTCTCGTACTCGTCTTTCCTCAGCTCTTCTTTCTTTTCCTTTTCCCCCTCCTTCCCCACAAGTCAGTTCGTCCTTATTTCAGTTGCATCTTTACTTATCCCTCTTTATCCTCACCAACCCTTACTTTGCAATAACTCCTCTTCTTCCTGTATCTGCACTTGCCCCAAATCCAATTTGAATAGAGACGACACCGACCGTTCAAGAGGCAGGACGTATAGCAGTGCACTCCTTGCCATGAATCGGCAGCAAAGCCCTGACCTGGTCCCATCGCAACCCATCCAGGACACAGACGGCAGCCCCGTTGGTTTGTCGCAGCATCCAGTCCAGGGGGCAGGCCCAATTGCGCCCTCTTCCTCGCCCTCTGCAGCTGCAGCTGCTGCAGCTGCACATCCGCAACAACGCCCACAATCAGGTGCTACTGACCACCGCCACCAATCCTCGTCCCAGTCCCAATCACCCAGTCCCATGGTATCTCCACCAAACCAACCCCGATGGTCTCTCTCCGCCCAGCTTGCGCCTGATTATCACAACTGGGTCAGCGATGTCTCGACTACCCCCAGCAGCAGCAATGGACAACCCCCTTCTTCAAGAACAGGCAATCGCTTTCTCGACGCAGTTACAGGCAGATCTAAGGCTCAGCAGGGCCGCATTAGACGAGAGAACCAGCCCAGCTTTACCGGATCGGCTTTCACCAACTCTGACAATGAGGCTGGGAGAGACCAGGACGATGCAGATGACTCTATCGATAATGATGGTAATCATAACAATCCCAGCACCGAAAACACGGACGGTAACGGGCGCATTGTAGCTGATAATCCGCGCGACAGCACTAGCAATGCGCCTGAATCAAGGCTGCCGCCATTGAACAAAAGTCGTATTCAAGTACCCGATTCAAGTAGACCAGCATTCAAACTAGGGGCTCCGATTGTTTCGAAGCCGCAATCACAAAACTATCACGCGCCATCTACGAAAGGCACCGAACAGATCTCAGAGATATCTGCCTTGCTCGGAAACAACAGGACTCAAGATCAGCACGCGGACGGCCAGCACAGATGGACTAATGAAGGGTCTAGACGCAAAACACCGCGATACAACGGTCCTCCTGAGCCGTCCGAGGTGGACGAACTCGACGATGGGATGCAGGATACCAGCGAAAGAGACTCTCCGCGTTGGCCATCTAGGTAAAATTATAGGGAGTAGTGACATTCAAGCGGAGACCGAGGCCCCTAATTTATCATTTAATGCCTGGATGGTGTGATATGTCAAATGTGAGCAGGAAGATGCAGCGGCATCTATTGTCACACAACATAGCAATTCATGGATGATGGATCTGATATGATGCCATTTGACACGATAACTGTCTTATGCTGCTTACTTTGGCTGCTATACTCATATTCATCTATTTGTATCTTCCTGTCCATTGTTTATGAACTGAATGGAAAATGAAAAAAATATAGGGCTCGATCGCTATCGCCAACTATGGCGTCAGGACGGGGAGGTAATCGCAGCAGGGTCGTCTTTAGGAATCATTCTAACTCAGGCCACGACGGTCGCAGGAGCAACAACAAGACATTCCACAACCTTCGTAGATCCAGCATAGCCAACATCAACATAGTGCGGGAAAAACTTCTCTCTCGACGCAGCGCGTTTTATGACGACGCCAAAGAGGCGCTTGTGAAAGAAAACAATGGTATCCGCGTCTGGTACCACAACTATACTACAATCGGTAACGTGTGCCATACGCCATCGCAACCCCATTCATGAATGAATAATGATTTCGTATGTCGAATTTATCTAACGTTCTCTTATCCGTTAGACTGGATTCATGATTTTGTTAAGGAACGAGTGCGCTTGCGACACTTGCGGTCGTTGGGCGGGGTTCGTGGGGCTCTCAAGAACAGAGCGGATAGCTTGAAAGGCTGGGTCCTCGTACTCTTAACAGGTACGAATACTGGAGTCACAACAAAAAACTGGTGCACGCACAGCCTGAATAACCGTTGATTTATTCCGTCCCTGGTAACACATACCCACGCAGGTACAGATATGGCTATTTCCTTTCTAATTGTTTTTTTTTTTTTTTTTTTTTTTTTTTGGTGCTTCATTCTGTCATCCTTCAACCATGAAGGTGTGATAACGGCATGCTTGGCCGCTTTCATCGATGTCTCAAGTTGGTGGCTCGGTGATCTGCGCATGGGCTACTGCACCACTAGCTTCTGGTGGAGCCAGTACTTTTGCTGTTGGGAATCAAGTACCTGTAAGTTGACACATTGATGGCCACTACTACTGCTGCGGCTTGCACAACATTGTCCATATCCATTGACACTGACTTCTTTACCGATATGTCTCTCTATTAATCATCCATTGCGACGTTAGCGGACACGTGCCCCGAGTGGGTATCCTGGTCAAAAGCTCTTTCTTCTGACAACTTCGCCCTGAACGTCTCGAATGATACCTTTGATTGGATCGTATATTGTTGCTTTGGCGTAAGGCTTCTGATCTTCATGTCGCGCTTTTTTCATCATCGATCAGCGAACGATTGCGGCAGGTATTAACTCGACTCTTTCTCGGCCATACAACCATCTGCCACTGTAATACAGACACTTTTTGCGAGTATTTGTGTCATCATGGTCACTTCCGATGGAACTGTATCTCAACAGAGGTCTCATGGAGCAACAAAACAACGGAGCGGATTCAATAACGGAGGAATCTCTACCTCCGCATCCAGGAACACAATGGAGTCGGTTCTTGATGCTTCGCAACCCAAGAAAATCGCCTATTTCGGTGCTGGATCCGGCATCCCCGAAGTAAAAACGATCCTCGGAGGTTTCGTCATTCGTGGATTTTTAGGATTCAGAACCTTGATGATCAAACTCATTGGTCTTGTATGCTAAGTTTGCTCCTACATGGCTGCTTGGGTGTCTGTTACTCGATTGCGTTCTAATATGCGTATTTATAGCCCCTCATGGTAGCTTCAGGACTTAATATGGGCAAACAAGGTCCCCTTGTCCATATTGCGTGCTGCGTGGGCAATATTGTGTGCCGCATCTTTGATAAGTACAACCGCAACGACGGTAGGTTTCCAAATTGATCACATATGGATTCAGCCCGATATTTTCATCTATTCGACGTCTGTTCCTGAAAGAGTTCTCATGTTTATGTTTCCTAGGTAAACGAAGGGAAATCCTGTCCGCTGCTGCCGCATCTGGAGTTGCCGTTGCTTTTGGCGCCCCTATCGGCGGAGTTTTATTCTCGCTTGAGGAAGTATCCTATTACTTTCCAAGTAAAACCATGTGGCGCACGTACTTTTGTGCGCTGACTTCAGCTGTCGTGCTAAAGGTATATAATATAAAACGTCCTTTAGGGCGCCATGAGTCTCTTTGAGACTTTGTATTCCTATTTCCTAACGCATTTGGGCTTCATAGATGATCAACCCTTACCGTGTTGGAAAAACAGTGCTCTTCCAAGTTACCTATGACAGAGATTGGCACTTGTTCGAATCCATACCATTCTTCTTTATTAGCGTGTTCGGGGTAAGCCAGAGTGCATTGTCTAACAGCTCGCAAAACAATGCTGCGATGACCATTATGAATGACTTTGATAACTGACGTATTCTTTCGGGTCTGTAACGCTGTGACTAAAGGGCGTCTATGGAGCCCTCTTTTCCCAATTCCACATGTCCTACTCTCGCTTTCGATCGAGAACATGGATTGGTCGGCACCCTGTTCAGGAGGTTGTGATCGTCACCCTGATTACTTGCGCCATACAATGGCTCAATCCATGGACTCGAGTCAATCTGCTGCAGCTCTTGACCAACCTATACAGCGAGTGTACTCCTGATAACAATCTGAACGGCATGTGCGCGTAAGTGGATGTTTACAGGCCGCATCTTATATTATCACATCTTGCTTTGTCACTATGCTGATGTTTGTGCAGGCCGCTAACTCCAAATGTGCTTAACATCTATTATAGTGTTCAAATCGACCAGATCTATCCCATTTTTCTTCTCCTAGCAGAAGTGTTTGTGATGAAAGTCGCGCTCAACTTCATCACCTTTGGTGTCAAAGTTCCAGGAGGCATCTTCATCCCCACCATGGTCGCGGGGGCAGTTTTCGGGCGCATGGTTGGGCTTGGCGTTCAGTGGCTCATCGCGTAAGTGTCTAGACACGCTCTTCTCGTAATCTGGATATGAGTAAAGATGTTTGAGGACTTTTTTTTTTTTTTTTTTTTGACTCTCTATACTTTTTTACTGTGTATGAACGACGTCCGACAATGTAGCAAATACCCGGAGCACCAGATCTTTCAAGTATGTGAGGGCGACAGCATGGATTGCATCATCCCTGGTCTCTATGCCATGATCGGTGCGGCAGCCTGCTTATCGGGTGTAACCCGCATGACAGTGTCCCTCGTCGTTATCATGTTTGAGCTCACGGGTGCAATGACATACGCTCTCCCTATCATGATGGCTGTCATGATTGGCAAGTTTGTCGGCGACGCTTTCTCACCAGACGCATTCTTCAACAAGCTGATCGATTTGAACGAGCACCCTTATCTGGACAGTAAAAAGGACTATAATACGTTTGGAACGGCTGCCGATATCGCTGATCAGTACCTGGATACGATCGATGTTAATGATGTCAATGATGTGGACTCGCTGAGGCGTAAGGTCGAGATCCTGACTGCCTCAGGTTACTCTGACGGAGGATTGCCTATCGTGGATCGAGGCATTTTGGTGGGCTACATCGCATCCAATGAGCTAGAGCACGCTTTAGGCCTGGCGGAACAGAAGCATCCAGAGTGCATCTGCATCTTCAGAAACCGGGCGTCCTCTAATGTTCCTGCGACAGAAATTATGACTTCGTTGAATGATCTAGAGACGCAAGCCGGCGTTCGCGACAGGGAGTTAGGATTAGGACTTGGACTGGCGGCCTCCCCGGTCCACGATAGTTCGCCTCGTATGAATTCGCGGTCTAGACAGAGGTGGATGCAGAATCGGTCGAGGGGCGACAGCGAATATGACAACGACATGCAAGGCCACGATAAACCGGTTCGAGATGACCTTGCTCTCTTTGGGAAGGACCGGCTCCACGCAAGCAAGGACAGTCTAGATCAGTTGCCGCGCTCGGACAATAAGAGCTTTAAGAGCTTCAAGAGTACCAGTACCCACTGGAGCCGGGGCGGCGATGGTGTTTCTCTTGTAGATGAGGATACTGGCCTTGTCTCTCAAGATTATTCACGACACTATGCCCATAACAATGGTCGTGTCAGCAGCACAGGAACTTCTCATTTGTTGCGCGATCCTGCCCATACCATGGACTTTACGCCCTTTACTGACCAGGTACTGGAATTTTGTGATGTTGTTTTGTACACAATGCACAGATAATAATGATGCTTCGATTCATTGTTTGCTGTGCAATAGGCGCCGCTTGCAGTCAGTCTATTTTCGTCAATGGATTTGGTGATGGAGCTTTTTATCAAGCTGGGCATCAAATACGTGTGCGTAGTCAAGGCCGGCGAGCACTATGGCATGATCCACAAGAAGCGACTGTTGACCTTCCTGAGAGAAAATGACGATAAGCAAAAACGCTACAACCGAAACGAGTGCTTCTAACTTCTTTAGACCTGCAGAGTAGAATAAAGCTTACTGCTTCCATAGAGATATAGTTCCTTTGCCTAGAAGGCATGTGCGTTAGCTATTATATTTTTTTCCTTTATTGTGTTACGCAAAACTGAGGACTAGTTTGTTGGTGCGCCGTATGCTTCTGGCAAGCGCTCGATTGTATACTTGCGCTGCGACAGATACATGATAGGGATACCAGGGATCTTTCTTACCCTCCGCTTGAGATCCCGATCGCATGTGGCGACAATATAGCATTTATGCTGCATCACTCGTTCGACGAGACAGTCATCCGCATAGGTGCCCTTGTGGGTGCAGGGTAAGCGCTCGAACCTGGGATCCCGTGCAACCCTGAGCGCGACCTTGAACTTTGGTCCGAGCTTCTCCAATTCTGCCATGACACAATCGGTAATACAGGGAATCGATTTGGCGTACAAGCAGTCCATCATTCCTTTGACGAGCTCAATCTTATTCTGGATCGAGAAGTTGATAAAGTTGGTGTCGACCAAGATCCTGTATGGTGGTCCCAGTGCAGAGTTGTAGTTGAAGAACATGGACGATGCTACCTGTGGACTGGTTAAGAGAAGTTAAGATCAATTTAGATGTGGGTTGAGAAAAAAGTACAGGGTATTAGCTGGATTGGATGCAGGCTGGCAAATGCGACTGCAACTTACATGTGTCGGACAGCCTTCTTTTCCTTTTCCTCCTCCTTCTTCTTCTGCTTTTCCTGGTTAGCCTTGAGGCGAGCGTCATTAGGGCTGATCATGCGCTTGACGAGCGCGAACTGTTTGGTGGTTTTTGTCTTGCCCTACAGGTGGAGGAAAGCAACGGACAACAAGCTCTTGTCAAGATATCATTCCAACCAGTGAGTGTGAAGCGTTGCCTACGTTTTGTTCGTCGGTCCTGACATACCATGTCTGTATTTCTTTTCGGATTAGATTCGAATAATCGGGGTTGTTTGTTTGTTTGGTTGCAAGTTTTGAGTGGCGAGTAGAAGTATGAAGGGTATGTTGATGTGTCAGGATGTTTGAATGAGGAGGGCAGGGCGAAAGCGCAGGGCGATGCCTAATAAAAAAGAAAAAGGAGTGCAAGCCACTTTGTAAAATAAACAAAGCAGAGGTTTATTGATAACTTCCATAAATTGATTGTGTAATTCTTAATGTCATCCAAATACACGAGTTTGATGTGAAATATGGAGGCGATGCGCAAGATTCTGGGTGCCATGGCGCCAGAAAGGCGTTATGGGATACTATAGACGCCGCGGATGTGGATGATATCCACTATGTGCCATTCAATGCTGTCTCTGAACGCCCTTATCTGATCCACAGAGTGCAGGGGGGTGATTGTGCTGTGTTGCACCGCCATCGCATCGCACAAGGCACGCACGCAATAGGAATCACAATTGTGCTCACAAAAACCATCTTGACTGAATAGACAGAGGCCCCTTCTTTCCACTCCACTCCATTCTGCTTCTTTTCGCGTTATGGCACAGCAAACCGCTTACGGCGCCATCCCCACCTCCGAGCAGGACGCCAACCATGCCGACACTCCCTCAAGGCCGAGCGATCAGGACTCGTTTGACTGGTCCTCAAAACGGCACGAAGTCGGCGAGATCATCGAGTCCCATCGCGCGCACATTCTCATCCTAGTCCTGACTGCGATTGATGTCCTCCTTGTCATCTGTCAAATTGCTGCCACGCTGCTTGGACTCGATAACAGCAAGGAAGCAGAGTGGGTCCTTGAGCTCTTTGCCCACGCATCGCTCGGTATCGTCACCTTCTTCGTGCTGGAAATCATCCTCAAGGCCTTTGCCTTTGGCCCTGGCTACTTTTGGAAGAACACCCCTCATGGCGTGCTCCACCTTCTCGATGCTCTCATCATTATTATCTCCTTCTTACTCGAGGTCTTCTTGAAGGGTGCTGAGCAGGAACTTGGTTCTTTACTCATTATCTTCCGTCTCTGGAGAATCATCAAGCTCACCGGCACTGTCGCCATTGAGACTGCAGAGCACAGCCAAGCACACGTCATCCGGCTCCACGCACGTATCAAAGACCTCGAGCAGCAATTACAGGAGTCTCAGCAAGAAGTCCAGCGCCTTCGTGCACACACCATTGATCAAGTATAGACGCATTGAATGAGTAATAAATTCCATATTTTTTAGACTTCAAATCTTCCACCAGATGGCATTAGTTGCGAGAGGCAGTATGCGATAGAGCATCGAACTAGAGCGTTCTGATGAAAACAAGCGTCAGCAAGGCGAGACTGATGTGAATGGGCAATGAACTCGATATCATCGCTTGTTATCTCATCAGCTTATTTTCATATGGTGAGTTTGGTCCGCCCTCTTAGCGCCGTCGTTATGCCTTCAGAAATCTGCCGGAAAAGGATATATTCAGGCACAACAGGCTTGTTAGGCTTGTTGTTCAGAGTCAAAATATCTTTTAATACAAGTACGTTCGCAATTCTATCGATCCGAACAAGTCTAGATATCGACAGTGCCACTAAGGATACCGAGAACGCGAATCAACTCTTCGGGACTTGTGACATGCCAGTTGGCAAGTGTTTTCTTAAGCGCGTGTCCAATTGTAACCGAAAAATGCTCATTGCCAACTGCCTGTGAGGATGACCCATGCGATTCCACAGAGGAATCCAGTATAGCCGCCGTGGAAGAAGAAGTGGCCGATAGAGATGACGCAGTATCGTCGCCAGAGACCATCACGGATAACTTCAAGATCGACTCGTCCTGGACGGCTAAAGGGCCACCGTTGATGGACAAACGACTATGTTTCGTGTTGGGTGAGTGCTCTCGAGAATGTGTCAGCGTCGCCTCTGCAATCTTGGCTGCGGTTTCTGCGACCAAATTGGGACTGTAGGGCTCCAGTAAACTGCTGGCATCCTCTGAAGCACCGATAAGGATGCTGCCATGCGCGCTGTTGCTTCCTGCCAGCGCCCTAAACATGTCCTCGTCCGTCTTATCATCACCCGCGCACATGACAAATTCGACATCTGTATGCTGACTTAACAGACGCTTAACAATTTCCCCCTTGTTGACAATAGTAGGGCGCACCTCGAGGTTCTTTTTGCCAACCAAGATCTCAACGGGTAACTTGGAAAGTACAGCGTTCTCGAGATGATTCTGGCATTCTTTTGCCTGGAAAGCACCGAACTCTGGGTCCGCCAAGCGATAATGCCACGTCAACGAGGAGCGTTTATGCTCGATGAAGGACCCTATTTCATCACAAAGATAAAAAACGATGAGCTCAAAAAATACTTGTGCATTAACAGCGATTCTTCGGATGTCGGCTTCAAAGCCCTGAGCTGATCCTTACCCTGAGTGCGTTCAGTGTAATAGGTAAAGATTTCGGCCACATCAGTTTTCCAGCTCATGTCGAGAGTCTCGGTCAAGTTGATCCACTTCTTGCTGCCAGGTTGTCGCATGAAGGAGCCGTGCTCAGCACTGAACCCCAAGTTCTCGACGCCGCCTAGCCAGTCCTCCAGGACCTTCTGGTCCCGACCCGATATGACCCAGACAATGTTTTTGGGGTCGGCAGCAAGCGCAGCCAAGGCTTTTAACATGTGCTCCTGAGGGACAGCTGCGCCCGGGGTCTTTCTGATCGGGGTCAACGTACCCTAATATCAATTCCAAGGAAGAGAAGAGAGTGTCAATTCTTGCGGCCATTGAGTACGCCATTAGGTGCATCAATAGTGCCTGACAGCGTGGGGGACCCAAGCTAGTATGGACATACATCGTAGTCGAACATTAGCAGACGCTTCTTTGCGCGGTGATACTTGTCGACAATAATGCTCACGTCGAGATAGGGCGTCGGAGTTGACTGGTCCCATGTGCACGCGTGCAAAGTTAGTTCTGCGATAAAGGATTTCGCCCAAATTTGAGCTGTATGACTAAGAACGTGGTTCAAGAGTTGCTAAAGAAGAGTCGCCCATATGTTAAATGAAAAAAAAAAAAAAAAAAAAAAAAAAAAAAAAAACGAGTACCTGGGTTAGCGATTTTGACAAGACACAATAATGGCAAAACTAAGACGACGAAGCTTACGTTGTGACGAGCACGCTTATCCTCCTTAGAGAGGTGCAGCGCATCGTAGATACCTCGCGCAACGCCCTGATAGTCCCATGGGTTGACCATCAATGCACCGCCAAGACTTCCGGCAGTCCCTGTGAACTCACTCAGAATAAGGGGCCCGTGGTTCTCAGACTGGCACATGATGTATTCGAGCGAGGTGGTGTTCATACCGTCTCTGACTGAAGTAATAAGCCCAATATCGGCCACCGAAAGTAACGCATAGTATTCATCTCGATCAATGTGCTGGTGATAGTGGTGCACTGGTGTAAAATTGAGTGATCCATAAGTGCCGTTGATATGAGCAACCAACTCGGCGATCTTAGCCTCCAGTTTCGGGCTTTCGACCAGCGGTGGCGATGTGACCTGGATCAGAACAACCTCCCCTTGCATCTCAGGATAGTCATTCAGGAACTTTTCAAAGGCCTGGAGCTTTTGTTGAACGCCTTTAACGAGATCCAGTTTGTCACGCCCAACGATAATACGCTTTCCTTTGTAGGTCTTGCGAATGGCATCCATCTTTGGCAGCACTTCGGGTGCCTTGCGCTGACGCTCGACCCTCTCTGCATCAATTCCGATAGGAAAGGTTCCGACCCACACGGTCGAACCCATGGCATCAACGCCACGAGGTGTTGATTCGTAGCCATTGACACGAGTGCAGCTGCTGATGAAGTGTCTGGCATATGAATATGTCTAGAGAAAGCCAGTGTAGGAACATAATGTTATTGTCATACATCAAGATGAGAACAAACAAGGTGAAGATACCCTGATAACGCCAGAACTCGTACCTGGAAACCGATTTGATTTGCTCCTAAAAGTCCGTTCAAAATTTCGACGCGTTCTAATCGCATTCAAACGAGGATGGACATGGAGCATGAAGAGTAATGAGTGAATATACGGGTATGCACCAGCTTTTCAAAGTCCCCCTTTTTTCATGGTCCTGCCGGTCCCTTTGGACTGGTGACATACTTGGTAGACATCTAAAGATCTCGGATGAAGGGAAGGGCGCGTGGATGAAGACGCCGATAGCAGCAGAAGGGAGCTGTTGCCGGACCATATGAGGAACCAACAAGAGATGGTAATCGTGGATCCACACTATAGATGACACATGAGCAAGATATGAGCAAGATCAGTGGCCAGATCCAAGCCAAAAGAGTCCGTTCACAAGGGTGACCTTAGTCTGTCCTGATAGTCTTACCGATATCGCCGGGCTGATACTGCTTCACAACGGCGTTCGCAAATTGCTGGTTCACAAACACATAATCGTCCCAGTTCCTCTCCTCGATCCGGCCATCCGTGGCCTCATCCCAGAGAATGTAATGGAAGAGTGGCCAGAGAACTACTTCCGAGAAAAAAGACGACGATCAATCAGCCTGGGCCTATGAGAGATGCAGCTGAAAAGCAAGAAATGACATGTGCACTTGCCGGTCTTGCAGTATCCTTCGTAATGACCAGCTGCGCGACTATCATCCATAAAGATGGGTACAACCCTTTCCTTGTGCCAAAGTTCGTTCTGCAGGGCTTGCTTGTGTGACTCTGTTAGGTTTTTGGAGGGAACCACGTACCCGTCCTGATCAGCGATCTCACCAACCCAGCCAATCTGGATGGTCTCCAGATCCCTTTTGAGCGACTTGACTCCAGAGTAGAGTGCAGAATGGCCCCGCCGTTGCTCCATAGTCCAGCCGCATTCGGGATACGATCCAGCAGTGGCAGAAGAAGAGGTGGACGCGGCGTCTTGTGTGGGGAGTGCATGTGGGTGGGATGCGATACAGGATGATCGCCTGTGGATCGAGGAAGATGCTGCGGTTGAGCTTGCTGTGGTGGTGGTGGATCCGGTGATTGTCCCAGGCGGATTGGAGGAGTCCTTTCTGTCGAGTAGTGTACAGGCGTAGGGGATCTGGTGGGTGAGGTTGATCAGACGGGGCTTGGTGCTGAGGATAATCTGACCGGTCTCCGGAAGGTCGGTGAGGGGCACGACCTTTGAGTTGTAAACAGCGTGGGAGAAGGAGGACGAAGCAGGGAGGGGTGCAGCCATGGTGAAGTGGGACAGCGAGACAGACAAAAAGAGATCAAGGACGTGTAGGTGGATCAGGGGAGGTGATGGTGAGTGATGGATGAGGTGGGTGTGATGGGTGTGAGGAATCAACGCGAGAGAAGAAAACGAAGAGAAGTGGAGTGAGGAGATAAAAGATAAGAAAGTGACTCTTTTTACAATGAGCGGATCCGTAGAATGCACCCTTTTATATTGGCATATCGTATCCACAGTTGGATATGATTCATTTCCCTCCAAATACACCAAAAAAGATGTGTTTGTAGGACAAGCAAACCAACAAAGCATTCATCCATGGACCCATGCGCACACTGCTTTGTTGCCGCTATATTAGAAATGGGAGTGCTATTTGTGGATCTGCCTTGTGGATATGGACAGTGCGCTCAACACCCCTGTTGACAAGCACTTAGTTTATTATTACATCTGTGGAGACTGCAGTGAGATTGCAGATGTAGAGCCATAGAGACAGAACTAGATATCATATGTACATCATGAACTGGGGCTGCATCCATGCTTTACACCGCCGAGGTCGACCGCTTGCGTGTCACAGATTCGTACAAGCCCTTGAAGACCACGCCGATAGCCGAACGCGACTCCCACAGCGGATAGATCGTCACCGCAATTGTTGAGCAAATCGCCCACATGATGCTGAGCACTACCCATCCGGTGTAGAACCCACGCGAGAACACATACTTCGAAAAGAACATTGGCAGTGGCCACAGTAGTATCAGCACTACAGCCATCGTGCTCGAACTCCATCTGGCAAACGTCGAAGCCTTACGCAATTTCGCATCCTCTTCTGCATCAAAGCCCCATCCTTCCTTGAGTTTAGCTACCTCGACGGTCGTTGCTTCCTTGACTCCCCTCTTTTCATCAACCATCGCACTCGTTGTCACATCCTCAGAAGAGTCGTCACTACCAGGAGCCTCGGCCGAGTTGCTGTCGTCCGTAACCTGTCTCAAAGAACGTGTGCCGTCAAACGTATAGTTGTCAGGATTGATCCACGAAATTACTGCCGAGATAGCCCCTCCACTAATCAGAGCCGCCAAGTTGCCTGCCAACATCGCCTGGTCCGTGGCCGTAGTCGCCAGTGTGATCTCGCCAGAGTAAAGCTTTGCACAAACCAACCAAGCCGTAATCGAGATGAAGAGGCCTCCAATCGGGGCAACACAAGCTGCGAGGGCGTTCTGCTTCTTCCAGAGGAGTGAGAATGTAACGGGAAGGACAGCAGACGAGATCAGGACTCCCATCTATCATTGGAAACGGGGATAAAACATGCGTGAGTTATGCGATCAAATAGTAAAATGAGAAAGACACGGAAATCTTACAATATTAGCCGTAAACATACCAACGAGTAGAGGTATCCGAGATCGATGCCAGCCTCCTTCAGGATCACGGCAAGTACCCCCATAATGATACCGAATCCTACCACGACAGCATGCGAGACCCTAATGATCTGCTTTCCTGTTGCCATGGGGTTGATGTAGGTGCGATAAACGTCAAAGGTAGAAATAGAGCTCACTGCAATCAGCTCCGCGCTCGCTGCGGAGGTGACAGCCATGAACACAAGCAGCAGCACCGCAACAGCACCTCCGTGCCCCAACAACGCCACAGCAGCATTGGGAGCTACCAATCCTGCCGAAACGTCGCTTGGCAAAATACGGTTGGGGAAGGTGGGGAAACGCTCGTTGGACTCGAGTGCGACAGCCGAGATGCCCAAAGTGGTCGCAAGTGTGAAGGGGATAGCAAACCAGGACAGGCCTCCGATCAAGTAAGCCTTGACAGTAGAGTGGGGCGAAGCTGCAATGGCTCGCTGCCAGTACGCGTTATCGATAAAGACCGTTCCAAAGTTCGAGCACAAATTGATGATCCCAAACATCAAGCCCTGGGAGCTGGCCATCGTCAGATAACTTCCCTCGTGGTTTCCGTCTACGGGATGTAAGGACGCGGTTTGCTGCAAGAGTTCATACATCTTTCCAGGGCTGCCAATAAGGTCGGACGTCGTATACGCTGTAAAGCTGAAGAGTAGAACGATGATCATGATCACCACTGTGTGCGTGTAATCTGCGATAAACGTGGCCTTGAGACCACCGAACAGCGTGTAGATGATGACTCCCAGGGGCAGGAGAAAGCATGCGGCAATGGTGTTCATACCCGTCAGTGCCGTCACCACAGCGGATCCTCCGAGTAGGAGCATGGCGCTGACGATGATGTTGGTGAGGAGACCAAAGAACAGGAAAACAAAATGGGCCTTTCGACCGTATCGGATCGAGATGATTTCGAGGAATGTGTGGGCGTTGGGACACTTGCGCTTGAGCTCAATGGCGAGGACAGAAAACAGCAGTACCTATCCGAAATGCAAAAAAGAATCCGAGCGCCATCAGGTCCATGCAATGATTAGGGCCGACGAGGGGACATAGTACATATGTGCGATTTTTATGTGTTGGCCTTTCTGCTTACCTGCACGCTGGCTCCGGATGCATACCAAAAAGGCCCAGAGATACCGTACTTATATGCGACAGAGGATGACTGCAGCAGGGTGGCAGCCCAGGTCCAGGAGGAGACGACAGCTGAGGCAACAAGGCCTGTCTTGACGCTTCGGCCAGCCGCCATATACTCCTCCGAGGTAATTTTCTCGCCCAAGAAGCGCTTTTGGATCATAGTGATGAGTGTCATGATACCTGCAAATACCAGACCAAAGCCCAGCACTAAAAAAATGATAGTTGCAGATCAGAAAGACGAAGTCGCATCCGTTAGTGGATTGTATTAAAAAAAAATAAAAAAATAAAAAAATAAAAATAAAACGAATACGATCAGGAAAAAAAAAAAGGACATGCCGATTCCATATCCTAAACTTTCGCTCAGAATTGCTGCCATGGTGTGAAGTTCAAGCTCTTGCCGAAAGTAGTTGTAATGAATAAGTTGAAAGATGAACAGAAATGATTCAGAGTGAGATGGAATCCGGATAGTCAGGAGGACGTATGAAAGGATCAAGGAGGAGTGGAGTGAAGTCAAGTCGAGTCGAGTTAAGTTGATCGAGACAACGGGAGGGACGTTTAGCGAGAGGGTTTGGCATTTTATAGGCGCCTCTCCTCTAGTGTGAACATGCCTGTATACGACCAAGGAGAGATGTGATCATTTTTGTCGGAAGAATGGGCGCCACCACATAGAATCACCTACATGGACCGTGGCACATGGCCTATGGGTTCCGAATTTGAAAAGGAAGGGCGGTCTTCTTTTCCTATCTGATGCAACGCGACATATCTGCCCCGGCAACCTTAACAGTTTCAGTGATAGCTTTTTTGTAAAGGTACATTGGGGATAGGCCAATAGGAATCCGCTGCGGGGGGACAAAGTAAAATAAAGTTGCTTCGTAGATTTGCGGGGTAAATCAGGGACAGGGACAGTGTGGAAACGCGTGTTTGTTCACAGTAAAAAAGCGGCTGGGCCACACAATATGCTCACTGGCCGCGTTTATTTTCTGTCCGATAAGTCAACGTGTTTGACAGAACAATGCCGGGTGCATCTATATTGCATGCTACATACTACACACACATATAGGAATAAAGACTGCAAGGTATATGGAGAATCATCGCCCATTGTTGTGCATTCGGGGAAAAAAACGAGATAAGAATGTTTGTTGCTCTATGATTGCAATACGATCTGTTCACGTCCACGGACGCTTTTTTCGTAGTTTTGATCTATTACTCTTGCGCTGCAGACAGACACATTGACTGCACTCTCATTCGTCTCTGCCTGGTTGACAGAGCTGAGCTCCACTCCCTTGTCCTAATCTGATGGTATCTAGAATTGCCCGTCATTAAGTCAAGACATCCTTCTCTTAACAAGATCTCTTTACCATGCGTTTGTCAAACAGCTGCTACCCATCCTTGTTGTGTCTACCTCGCTTCTGAACATTCTGGGCGTCTCATATACCGCAACTTGTCGCTTTTTTCGGAACAATACTGTTGGATATATATTTTTTGAGAGTAAAGCACAGCGTTTGCATGAATTTTATTGTAGAGATAGCTATGTCCAAAGCAGCACTAGTCGCGTTGCTAGAGCTTTGATTTCGTTTCCTTGGAGTTGCGCGCAGTTTGACCAATGATTGGGATGCCATACCGGGGAGTAACCCTAGCAACGTCGCCACTGTATGAGTCGTCCTCAATCAGCATCATGAAGGCGTCGATGACCTGCTCCACAGGAACAAATGATACTTGAAAGATAGACGCAGCCATTCCAAAGGTAGCATTTGCCTAGGTGCAACGGTGTTGACGCGAATATTGTAGCCAAAATCCTTGAACGAGCGCATGAAGTTAATGACGCCAAACTTGGCTGCAGAGAAGATAGGCGTCATCGGTTGAGGGTACAGACCAGCCAATGAAGTTGTGTTGATGGTGGTCTCGCCACATTCGTGCTTCTTTAATGCTTGGATGTCCAGGCGAGTATCCTCGATTACAGCGGCAAGATCGATGTCAAGTACCTTTTTCCAGGCTCCGCTGTCGTCGTCCCAGAGAGGAACTCGTTCTGCGATACCACATTGTTGACGACAATGTCGACTCTTCCAAAGTACGTCTCCGCCGCTTTGAATATCTCTGCCTGCTGACTATAGTTGGTTACATCACACTGGGCAAAGTGGGCCACTTTGGCGTCTTTGCTACACGGATCAGCGCAAGACGAGGAGGGTAATCAGGTTAGACTGGAGAATAAAAGTGAAACGACGACCGGTCATTGAACTCTCACTCACCCAGAGTTCAACTCGTCCGCAAGGCGTTCTCCGTCCTTGATATCATTGCCTGCAAGAATGACTTTGGCTCTAATATTGATGGACAATCCTTCCTGTGTTATGTACGACGTGCATGTAGATTATATGACAAGCAAGGAGCGCTCTGCAAGGCTCTCCAACCCTTTTCCGATAATACGGGTCGCGAGAGCTCTCCCGAAGCCTACGTGTTCCAATAACATTCGTGTGTTGCTATAGTATTCAGGACGTGGTGTGGTCGCGACATCCCCGTCCGTCTTTTAATGCTAGAAAAGAGCCTGACCTGAAGAGGCACCGGTGACGATGGCGACCTTGACCTGCAGATTCATTATTGAAAGTGGTTAGAGTAGAATGGGATGTGATGAGGTGGGTGAGCGTGCGATGAGTGTCACTGAAATGATGGGATCAAGGTAGAGGCGCAATTTCCAAGCCAAAGCGAGGTCAACACCTTTCTTTATTCAGCCTCGCTTTTTCATTTGCTCCCAAAAGTATGTTGCCCCTCGACACTCTCTCTTTGGGACCATAAAGTATGGAATATGCTATATGAGGCGCCATACTCTGGCATCTTGGAAGGCCCCATCATGCTCGGCTCAAAGAATTGGAGAGCCGTGATACAATGGACAGCACTTCGATAATTTCGAAGTACTAACGCCGAGTCGCACACGCGGGTCCAGGTTGAGTGAGTCGCACTTGCCCTGCGATAGCTTCTTAGCGTTGGTCCAGCACGAGACTTGAACTCCTTTGATCTACCGCGCAGGTGCTCGATTCGCCTACACAAATCTTTTTGCCAACATAGTCAGCACATCATCCTTGCTGCATATTCTCAGATTGCAAGGGATCGACAGGAATACTCGAGGGGCCAAGCGCGCAGGTCATGAAGAACAGTATGGTTGAAAGACTAGAGCAAGAAGTAAAATAAACGCGTAAACGAAGGCGGGGGACAGCAAGGCGTTGGAGGAGTCCTAAGCATCATCTGGGCGCTTTGGATATGTTTGAAAGACAGAGCACTGAAGATGTAGCAAAGGACTATGGTTGTGGGTCTCGGTCCGCCTCTTCTGCCAGGTCCCTGGCGCAGATCAGACGAAATATTCATGCGAGTGCCTGCGGTTGTGGTATCGTGGCCTATAATCTACAGTTCGTATCGTGTCATTTACTTCTTGCGGTTTTCCTTTGTCGTCCTTAGCGGCTGTATCTGAAACAATTTGGCAGACGCATTTTATGCGCGTCTAAGATGCATCTCGAGTTCTGATCATCTGTGCTATCAGGTGATCAAGCAACAACCAAACTGCCCCACGCCAATGCCGCCCTCTTCACTTCCTCACCGACTATCAAACGCACCACACCGTGTCGCTCGACCACACAATGGGTAATTTTTGGAGCAGCAGCGAGGAACGGGAGCAGCAACAAGCTGAAGAACGAGCGCGACGGGATATTTTGTTGTCGCAAGCCCGTCGTAGGCAGCAGCAAGCTGAAGAACGGGAACGGCTGGATGCCTTGTCGTCGCAAGCCCTTCGTAGGCAGCAGCAAGGTGAAGAGCGAGAACGACAAGATGTTTTGCTGCGGCAGTTGCTACTGAAGCAACGGCAACCACCGTCGTTAAATCAGCAACCGGCCGCATCGCAGTACAGTTCGATTTGGGGCGTTGAGCGGCCATTCGATCAGGAACACGAGGACGAAAGCGCTGAATACTTTCGCTGCAAGAGCGGCTATGAACACGAGGACGATTGGCGAAAGCTGCGGAAGGCGAGCAGGACCCAACAGAGCTCGACCTCTGTGGGCCGCCGTAAACGAGGACGGAAGGGTCGTGGAGATTTGTACGAAGACGACTACCACGCAGGCCACAGCAAGAAGGAGATCCAGGAGATGTGTCAAGAGCGTCAGGCGGTGTTTGAGGCACAGTGTCTCAAGGCATCCCACGTCGATAGAAGAGAAAATGAGCAGAGACGAGGACGGAACGTCAAGTAGACTTCCCTGTGCAGGAGGTCATGCCATAACACCCCTTGGACACAGTTTGGCAATAATCTTCACCGTAGCAGTACACCTTCTCGTCTATTTTGCTTTATTGCCGTACAGTAAACTCAAATAAGCTATATACGCTTCAAGAAAACGCGCGTTTCAGGAGAGCTGAAGAGACATGTCAATTGCATGGGTATTCCTGGTAGCAATCGTTGTCCCGCAACGTTCACTCACCAAGGCAGATGGTCTTGAGCTCTGAATAAAAGTCAAGAGAGTGGTCGCCGCCTTCACGTCCCAGCCCGCTCTGCTTCATGCCTCCAAATGGCATGCGTAGATCGCGTGCCATCCAAGTGTTGACCCACACAGTCCCTGCCTGAATCTCTGACGCAACTCTGCGGGCACGGCGACCGTTTTCTGTCCAAACAGAACACGCGAGACCGTAATCAGAATCATTTGCAAGCTGGACAACCTCCTCCTCAGTGTCAAAAGCATAGACTGTGATAACAGGGCCAAAAATCTCTTCGCGCATGGTCCTGCTGGAAGGTGTTAGCCTGTCAGCCGTCGTGATAAAAAAAAAAAAAAAAAAAAAAAAAAGTGGGGTTAGAAACGGTTTTCTAGCAACAAATAATCTGTCAATTGAGTGCCTAGGCATCATGACAGCCCAAACATACCCAGAGATGATGGTGGGTTCCAAAAAGTAGCCGTCCTTGAACTCGTTTGGGAGTAAAGCCGGTTTCTGTCCTCCGCACTCAATCTTGCCGCCTTCCTTCTGTCCCAAGTCGATATAGCTCATGACCTTCTCCCAGTGTTCCTTGGAGACCAATGCCCCCAAATTCGTCTCCTTCTGCCTTGGATCGCCGATCTTGAGAGCCTTGGCCCCCCGAACAAGCGCACTCACAAACTTCTCGTAAATGGGCCTTTCGATATAGAGGCGCGAACCGCAGAGGCAGATCTCGCCTTGGTTGGAGAAACTTGACCGCAGGCTTGTTTTAAGTGCCAGATCAAAGTCGCAATCCGCAAATATGATGTTGGCGTTCTTGCCTCCGAGCTCGAGCGACAACTTTTTGAAGAGTTTGGCAGAATTGGCGATAATCTTGGCACCAGTAACCGTACCGCCGGTGAAGGAAATCACAGGAATGCGCGGGTGCTCGACGATCGCCTGCCCGGCGCCCATGCCCGTTCCGAAGACCATGTTTACGACTCCGGCAGGTAGACCGGCTTCCTTGAGCACCGAGCACAGCATGAATGCCGTCAAAGATGTGAACTCGGACGGTTTGCATACGGCGGTGTTTCCGCATGCTATTACAAGCCAAGACGAAATGTTTGATACAAGAATGACATGCCGCTATAAGTATGTGGTGATGGGCGTAGTATCTATAGCCTGGTGCTATTGCTGCAGGCTGCAGGTCTGCAACGGCCATGTACTACCATGCATCGAGTGCCACTTGTTTATCCGGTTCATTTTTCAATTTGCTTACCGATACATGGGGCAATCTTCCATGTCAAGAGATAAAGTGGCCTATCCCCCACAAGCAAAAGCATCGAGCGCAATTAGAGGATTGAGTCGCGGTATCGGCATCAACAGAATAGCAAAGGGATATGCAAGACGTACAGATTCCAAGGGGAGATCAAGCCAGCAACGCCAATTGGCATACGCTGTGAGTAGCTGAATCCGATATTGACGAGATCAGCGGCTTCGTCCACGCTATGTAAGATCCGGCCGGCAAAGAACCTGAAATTGTAGGCAGCACGGGGGATATCGACGGTCTTGGCCAGCTCAACAGGCTTGCCCTGGTCCGTGGATTCTGCCAGGGCAAACTCTTCTAGGCGTGCTTCAATCAGGTCTGCAATCTTGTAAAGGACCTTGGCGCGGTCTGGGCGACTAGTCTTGGACCAGCTGGGGAAGGCGGCTGAAGCAGCCTTGTAGGCGAGCTCGACGTCTTCTTTGGACGAATCAGGCACTTTGCCGTGGGGAACACCGCGTGCCGGATCGAAGGTGTCAAAGTACTTGCCCTGGGTGGGAGGGACGTACTCGTTGTTGACAAAGTTGTTGATTGTTACCAGAGTCATGGTGTAAGCAAGATGAAAAGCAGATAGGGATGGTAATGGGGATGACGATGGGGATGGTGATGAGGATGGCGATGGGGATGGTGATGAGGATGGTGGTGGGAAAGATGGAGATACAGTAACAGTATGTTTATGAACCCTGAATCTGTTTGGGGTATGGTTCCAGGCTAAATATCCGTGAGAAAAAAAAAAATGCGCTCGCTGGCTCTGTGCAAGGCTTTAGCAAGTCTTTATTTCCCTCCACAGAGGCTCGTCTAAGTTGCTTACTCCTGCTGCTGCTGCTGCTGTTCCTGTCCATCCATAAACTCGCGACTGGTCTGCCTCGTCGACTGCTGCGACCGGCGCGTGACGAAAGTCTGTCTCTGAACTATGGGCGAGTCTCTCGGGGTCTGCAGGGCCAGTCTGTTGACTACATGGTTCTGGTCCTCCTCAATGTCGTCCTCATACCGCTCCAGCTCCTGAGCAAGGGTGCGGTTCTCCCGAAGAAAGGATCCCGCACCAGTGGACATTGACCCTCTGATGACCCTCTTGACATCGCCCTTGGAGATGTGTCCATTGAATGAGTGCTTTTCAAGTAGCTGCAGGATATGTGGGTACACCTGCTTGTCCAGACCGTCTGCCCATAAGAAATCTACCCAGAGGAGTGAATGGGGAGGGAAAGAGGGATTAGCATAGTGCATAGAATGTTGCGACTTATTTTCTACTGCGAACAAAATTCAGGCTGACAAGTACCAAGATGCTCATAGTTTGGAATCTCCCAGATGCCGACCAAGTCAGGAAGATCTGAGAGCAAGGCCTTCACGTCGACCAAGGTATCGTCTCCTCCATAAAAGATGGCCATAGGGACCGTGATCTGGTTGGTTGGGAACGGATGGGGGCAATGACCCCGGGTTGAGGAGAGATATGGGACCCTAGGCTGCACGTCATCGTACATCTGGAATACTTGCGTCCTAATAATTTGAAACCAGTGCTACTCGGATTTGAGAAGTGAGTATCAGTAAAGTAACCCTGCTATGCACATCCCTATCAAATTGCTGTATAAGCATAACATCGTGTCGCTTACCACAAGGACCCTCACGCTGGTGAAACTGTAAAGGTGCTGGTAGGAGACCGATTTCTGCACTGGACTTATCGAACGGCAGTTCCAGCCAAACAAGAACTTAACCGCCATGTCGATGATGGTCGCATACGTCGTCGGATGCAGCAGAGCCTGCCAGAATAACGCGGCGTTCAGGGGTGTTTTTCTGCCCAGGAGCAGGTAGATGACATTGGGCGCCGCTTTGACAATGGAGTTGACAAGTCCGTTCTCGAGACCTGGGGGTGTAGTTGCAGGTGCGAGAGCAATGAAGAGCGAGATCTTGTCATTGAGCGCCGGATTGATGGACAGAGAGGCGAACGCCTGAGCAGTTCCTTGCGAGAAGCCAATGTAGACGAGCGAAGGGGCGCCTGTCCTGCCAAGGATGTACTAGACCAAACGCCACACAGAGAAGAAGAAAAACATGCCATGAGCTTCAATTGATTGTGGTCTGAGCATGCATGCATACGTTTACGGCCAATGCGAGAACAACAGCGAACAAACATACATCAATGGTATCTGGCATGTCAAAGAGCGCGAGCTCATCTATGCTGAACTCCCAAAACTTGTTTTCGTGCGGCTTCAGGAACATATGCTTGAGTGAATACTTGTTGCCACGCGCATTACCCAGCCACACGTCATATCTACCGGGGTATATGGCACACAATCAGCAGATTAACATCCATCCATGATACAGAACGAACCACAGCATGGGAGCACATACCCTGCTTCCGCAAGTACAAAGGCCAGATTTCTTTCCTCGTCCAGGTTGCAGAGCCACACTTCAGAGCACATCATGAAGCCATGGTAGAGCAGGACAACAGGCTTGATATAGTCGCCCTCTTTGGGTTTATTCCTCAGCTGTCCATCAAAGTCTGCCTCGAGATCCTCCTCCTGGTGGCGCCTGTCGCGCTTGTTCCTGTTGAGGTAGGCCTCCTTTGTCTCTGCAGCCAACGGTACGCCATTCTCTTGCAACAGCTTCACAATATTCTCTGGCGGGTTGGGGACCATGCCCTTGTCAGAGACTTGTTCCCGGCCATGTGTGATCCGGTGGATACCCAGTAGGTAATTGTCCTGTGTTCTCACGAGATGTTCTTGAACTGGATAGTTCCTATGGATATGGATATGGATATGGATAAGGAAATGGATATTCTCTGTTCATTCACATTGCTTGTGCCTTAGAACAAAGACCATGTGGTCTCCATGAACAGTCGTGCAGCCGTGCAGCCGTGCAACAACATACCAGAACCGGAGCATCTCCTGAACATTCGCGGCGTCTTCAAGCGGCGGGGCCCTGGCGGAGATATGATTGGTCACCACCCAAGGGAAGATCCTATGAATAGAAATTGTGTTGATTGTTGGTCGCTTTCCCTATGCCCAATAACGCAAAAAGGTGCAGTGAAAAAAAAAGCTCTTACTTCTCCACCAAGGCCTTCCCCGCGTCAAGAATGAATGCTGGGATCAGATAAGCAACCATGCGGAAACATGCCTCGATACCAAGGATGAGAAAGGTGAGGGTGATGGACCGGTAGTCGCCAAGACTGAGCCGGGAGACAATTGGTATATGGACCATGGTGTGAGGTTTGCAGCTTGAGCCGGCTATTAATGGAGTGCTAGGATTTAAGAGATACTAATCAGTCTAGGGTGAACAAGGAAAATGTGTAAAAGAGGTGTGCGGGACAGATGAAGGACGAAGGATGAAGGATGAAGGAATGAGATGGAATCGGATGTCTCGAGCAAAGTGAACAACAGCCTCCTTTTTTTTGGGCTAAGTTTCCATTTTACGTTACTAAAGAAAAAAATGACGCATCTTCATGCTGAGCTGAACGCGTTATTTGTCATTATTTATTTATTATGATATAAATGTAACCACTCAATGCTTAGCGCTGAGCATGCTTTCGTGAATCGACTGGGACTCTAGCTGCATCTCCTCGATCTCCTTGTTGGTAGGCGTAGGCCCATGGCGATCGATAATCGGTTCGGCAGACATTGGTGGGTTGGCAGGCAACAGGGCGTTAAGGATGCAACTAACTATGGCACCGAGTGCAAAGCCTGTGTCAAGGATGATGTTGACGGACGTTATCAACGACGTCAGGAAGGCAGAGCCGCCGCTGTAGCTAATCATGTGCGTCAGCACGCCGGGGACCAGGGCAGTACCTAAGCCCAGGGACAGGGATGCTGCCACAATGAAGCGCTCACGACGAGTCCAGGGCAGGAAGGACAGGATGCGGATACCAGAGACCACAACACTAGCAAAGAGAAACGTGGTCATCCCTCCAAGGACCGGATCTGGAAGCGTCAAGAAGAGCGCCCCGAACTTGGAAAAGACGCCCATGAGGATCAAGAAGAAGCAGCACATGTATCCAGCCATCGTGTTGGCACAGCGCGTCAAGGATATGATGCCGTTGTTTTGGGCGTAGCAGCTCATAGGCGAGTTCATCATTAGAGGCGCGAGCAGACCAGCTACTCCATCCGCAAAGATGCCGCCCTGGAGACGGGACTCGAATTCGCGGCCCTCGACAGTTAGCTGAGAGACCTCGCAAGAAGCAGTGATGTCGCCGATAGACTCAACCATGGCCTATAAAAATAAAATAAAAAAATAAAAAAATAAAAAAATAAAAAAAAATAAAAAAAAATAAAAAAAAATAAAAAAAAATAAAAAAAAATAAAAAAAAAAAAAGAGAGAGAGAGAGAGAGAGAGAGAGAGAGAGAGAGAAACAAAAAGGGGATTAGACGGCTGGTAGATTTCGGATATCATAACCACGGGACGGTGTGTGTAACGTACCAGGACATATGTGATCAAGAGAGGAATGATTGCGGGTGGATAAATGGACAGCTTGTAGGTCGTGGTCCATAAGAAGGTGATGACAGGGGCAGCCTCGATCGAATCCGAAGTCGTGTATCCAAGGGCTGCGGCAACAATCATCCCCACGACGAGGCCGATGACCACCTGAGCGTTCTTCATAAAAGGTGACCCAAAGAATTCCACGACCATGATAATAAAGAACACCAGAAACCCCAATCCGATCCATTGTGCATCGCCCCATGGTGCAGCATGAGGTGCACCGACATTTGGGCAGTCGACAAAAGGACCAGAGGTAGGTCGCGAGGAACAAGGACCGGAGCCGCCACCCCATTGCTGCATTCCAGATGTGACGAGATTGACGCCGATCAGCATAACAGTAACTCCTGTTACAATCGGAGGAAAGACTCTCTTGAGCGCGCGTGGGGGAACAAAGGAAAGGATGATGGGCAACAGACTGCAGAGCATGCATGTGCCTAGGTAGGCACCCCAGGCATCGGGACAGGGCTCAAAGACCTGCGTTCCCGAGGCATCAAAGCTGCTCTTGCAGAATCCGGAAGCGTACATGTTCGAGACTGAACTCTGGAGTACTGGTAGATAAATAAAACTTGTTCCCACAACCGACAAGAGTCCGGTTCCTAGGAAGTACGGTGTCTTGCCGACCCTGAAGCGTGTGATCTGGACAAGCGAGAGCAGGCCCGAGGTAATTAGGGAGGTGGAAATCATTTGTGTTCGGTTCGCGGGTGTGAGATTGAGTCCAGTGATGCCGGAGCCAGACATGATGATCGCCGGTGTCACTACGCCAGCAATCATGGCGAGCGAGTGCTGGAATCCTATGAAGTGAAGACGTTGGAAGGGTATTCAGAACGATTGATTAGCAGATTGTTTGCATCCCCGAATCCCTTAAGAGTCCGCAGAAATGGAACCGGCGACACGAACCCATGATGATAGCGAGAACGAGCGGGAGTCGGTCTTTAAGGCCAAAGAACGGAGGGATTCTAGGGATGGAGAAACCAGGCAATGTGGGGGTGCACAGGAAGCCGTAGTCATAGTCCCCCAGCCATCCGCTTCTTGTTCCAACGGAATCTTGGATTGTCTGCCATGTGGGTAGTTTCCCGACGGTGTGGGAGAGATCGATGTCCTCTTCCTTGGTGCGGTTGGCGAGGGGGTCGAGGATGTAGACGGGCGAGGCCATGGCCCCGGGCGCTTCTGCGATTTCAGGCATTCTATGGGGGGGGGGGGGGGGGAATGTACTCCAGAGGGAGCAGGAAGAGGGTGTGGAGGAGAGGATAAGGGGGAGAGAGCTTCAAAGCGCAAGAGATGGGCTGGCCTGTGGATATTTATGATGTTTATGATGTTTATGATGTTTATGATGTTTATGATATCTATGTGCTAATGGCCCTTTGTTTGCCTGCTGGACCAGGAAAGACCAAAAGAGGACGGCCCATCCATGGATGGATGCAGTCGATACACAAAGGCGCGAGCAGGATGGGCCAATGGACCTGCCCAGTATGGTATCCACATTATGCGGGGTCAAGGTTGGCCTCCCATTTGTCTCCGGTGTTGGTGCTCTGGTCAGGCGCGGGGACAACTCTAAAACGAACAGCGAGCGAGTGACCTTGACCAGTCAGATCGATCGATCGGAAGAGCGTCCTCCACATGAGGTCGCACCTTGAGCACGGAAGCCTGTGCATTATCGCCTTCTGGCGCACTGCGCCTGCAGCAGCAGCAGCAACAACACCAACAACACCAACAACACCACTGGAGGCAGCATCGTTGGGACCTCCCCCTCTTTTGTTTTCTTTTGCGGGGAACGCCTCCATTGTTCCGTTGCTGCAGCGAACGGTGCTGGTATCTAGCGCTCCTCTCTGGAGATGCTTATCTCGGTTCAGGCGGTATAGTTCGGCCATGCTCACCTTGACAGCGTAGACAGCTGCTTAGCCCTTCGAGGATGCCACAACGTGGTATATGTGGATTAGAGTTGCCCGCTTTTCTGTTATTATAATGATTGCTGAGTGCATCATTTTTCCGAGCCCTCTGAATGGTCACAGCCTTGCTTGCCCCGCATTTTTCGGTCCAACCACGGGCGAAAGAAATCCCCATTTTGCATTCGAAAAGATACGCAGAATGGGTCACTGCCTATCTGTACTCACCGCGCTGAGGCTATAGGGGTTTTGTTAGGGATATCTTAGGGATATCTTAGAGATTTGGTATTTTTGATTTTAATATAGATGAAAATAAAGTCGCGCGTAGTCTGTGGGTGCGACCTCAACGTATAAAAATCCACTCCTCCTCTCCCTAGCAGATGGTTCATCATCAGGTTTCAACAATGCACAATCTCCTCTTATCCTCATATCGGCGCTCTTTGCCCAGGTTGCGATCGCCGAAACCTGTATCGAGCTCAGGGACAACAGTGGCATCAGGTCGTTTCAGATTTGTACAGCGCGCATCGAAAGAATGTGCAAGTGTGTCAAGAATACCCAGACGGGGTCCATTCGAGGAATCAATGCAGGAACCGTCAGACTCTTCTCATCCGACGACTGCACTGGCAACTATCAGACGCTCGAATGCAACAGCATTCAATACAACACACAATGGATCAACAGCATCTCTTATGGTGCATCTGGCATTTCATCTAGCAACCCCAATGGCCATTGCCCCACATACTATTAATTGAGCCCTCACCTTCTTCTCCCAACTATTGTTTCTCAATCAAAGCAGCTTGAAGCGTTTGTCTCGTGTGTTTTGTATTTCGCAAGTGAGCTCAATGCGCGGAATCACCTATATCATCTCTAGGTCAACGAAGAGGCGATGGACTGTTTCGACGAAAAATAGAGTCTGCGTCAAAACGTCCCATCTTAAATATATTTTTACAATACGATTACAATACGACATTTTGAATCGTCTATGTCCTCACGTGAGGTTCAGTACAAGGATGAGGGTAGGAAAGCGGCTGTGTACGTAAAAAATGAAAGCATGGCTGCCTTTAGGAAAAAAATATAGCAGCAGTCAATTAGGGGGGGGGGCCGGCAAATAATGCAAAGCAACCCGGGTTGTCAAATAGAAATTTTTTGTGTTCAATAGCTAGAAAATGCTAGAAAATGCACGATGGATTTTTTTGCTTTCAACAGAATCGCCTATCCCTGCCAGCGATAAGGTAACGTCCAATTGGACATTTTCGGCTTTTTATGCCATGTGGCGATGCTCCTTAGTTCTGAATGCTGGATCTGCGAAACCTTATTTTGCGACGCCGCTCCAACGCGAGCGCATTCTCGTAGCTGTTTTTGACGCGAAAAGTCGACAACATCGCCAAGAACCGCCCACTCCAAGTCCTGGGTCTTTTGCACATTTCCCGGCGAATGAATCTGCAGATGTGTAAAGAATACTCAGACGGGCTCTATTCAAGCATACGGCGGAGGAGTCACCGGGCTGTTCTCAACCGATGACTGCACCGGCAACTATCAGACGCTTGAAAGCAGCAGCATTGCATACAACACGCAATGGGTGAATAGCGTCTCATTGGGTGCATCAGGCGTCCCATCTGCGGACCCAAATGGAGATTGCCCAAAGTACTATTGATTAAGCCCTTCCAAGTCGTCCTCTCTCAATTAAATAATTAAATGGCTTGAAGTTTTTGTCTCGTGTGTTTGTATTTTGCAAATGGGATCAATGTGGGGTATCCAATATTACCCCAAGGTCTCGAAAAAGTGTCCGGGTTGAATATGGTAGACATGTTCATGGTAAATTGGGGTGTCAGTCAGAGAACAATCAAGAGCACTAAACACTATATAGCACAGGCGTCAGTATAATTGCATAGACTCGCATGATCCCTTTCTCACCGACTGTCTCGGAGACTGTTTGGTGAGGGCAGTTTTTTTGTGAGTGGTAAGAGGGCCGTTTGCGGAAAGAGGAATAGATGTCCTCGAGGACGGAAGAGAGCGAGGCCTGGCGAAAGACTGATGAGGGTCGCAAAGATGGATCGCGTGTATCCATGTCGTTTGAAGGAAGTACAATGGCCGAGTAGCTTGGGTGTAGTGCAGAATGTGAAAGCTTTTGTCGCATTGGGTAGTTATTATGGGAGAGCTGGGGATGGGCTGATGAATTATGTTGCGAGGGGCAGGATTCCAGTTTGGGGATGGCCGAAGATCTGCGTGAATCTTTAATGAGAATGTTGAGAATGTCAATGATGGCGATGCAGGTGTTGAATGGCATAGAGAAGCCACGGAGGTATTTTTGAATGCGGGGTAAGTGGAGACGCTCAGGGGTTTGTACGATATATGGGTGTTCCAAATGAGCGGTAAGAGTTCTTGGAGCGCATGATGAGAACTCGTGAGAGAGAGGCACAGCTGGTTCCTGTCCCTGAAATTGTCACGTATGCGACACGAAGGGTGGTGCGAGGGCGATAAGGTGGGATCCCCAATGCATTCAAGGTCTCGTGCGCGTGTCTGATCTTCTGAGATATACAGGCACCGTAAAGGACCTCGCTGCATTGGACTTTAGAAAACGCAAGGCGAGATGTCGATGTAGACAGCATCCCTTGCAACGGATGCTCAGAGAAGCGCGACGAGAGGCCCTCTGGCAGACCGGGTATGACCAAGCGTGGGTCTGGGTAAGGTCTGAAATGAATTCGATGACCTCAGGCCAACCTTATCAGCAGGCGCTATATAACGTTTCTGCAGCTCTGGACAGCGAGCGCGCTGGTGGAGGACGGATGTGGATGATGTGTATCTCACCATGACGATGGTCAGCGCAGAAAGTCTAGACAAGGCGGGCCTAGTCTCGTCTTGGTCTGGAGGAGATGGAAAACCAACGAGGACATGACATGCTCCCCGACTCCCGACGCCATACGTATTGCCCCGGTCATCCTCTTTCCTGCCCACTCCTGCGGGGGTGCTGATGCCAGAAACGAGCGCATTTTTCCATAGAACATAGACAGGGGTGGTGTCGTCCAAGGGTAGGACACGCGCACGGGCTTCTGCTTGCAGGCATATCAGGCATATCTATGAGGAAAACATGCGGTAAGCACCACCCAGGGACCACCTTTCCATCCCCATTCCCCTCCTCATCCATTCTCTTTTGATTCATTCCCCTCATTCTCTCTCTCTCTCTCTCTCTCTCTCTTTCTCTCTCTTGATCGATTCATCTCATTCTCTCGCTCTCGCCCGATCCCTGCATCTGCTGCATCCACAACTTGTATATACACTCTGTACAGTCCTCGCGCCCCATACCCGTGCTTTCCTGCTTCCTAACGCTTGCCTCAGTCCATACCACCGCCACATCCACTCTTCTGCCTGACCAAAGCGCGTCGCACCCCCGGCCCGTTCGTCCAGGAACGCGAAAACCACTCCACTCCAGAAAAATAACCAATCTATCCACTGGTAAGTCGCGCAGAGTAATCAGCTCGTATTAAACTGGCATCTCTGAAGATTGTGCCTTTACTGACCCGACTTCAACTGACGATCATACTTGACGCAGCTATCGCCCATGGACCCCTTCACTGTACAGCAGCAAAACAACCGCGGACCGTCAACCGCGGAAGAGTTGCGTGTCGCGCCGCCTCTCGCAGATATTGACCAACCCCCTGTCCAAATCCCAGGACAGGCGCGTTTGGACGACGCCGTGGGAAAGGCCGTTGGTGGAACTGTCATTCCCTCGGACATGCGCCCCACAGACATGCCCTCGTCTACAAAGCTCGATGCTGCAAAGGCAGACCTGCCAGCAGAGGAGCAGCCTCAGCATCGTGCCAATCCCCAGTCCACGCAGGTCGACCAATCCTCCAATAGCACCGAAAAGAAAAACAGCGAGGCTAAGGACGAGGACAAGAAGGATGACAAGAAGGATGATAAGAAGGAGGTTCCCAAGGACAAGGTCGTTGGTGCCTATCCAGTTGTCACCCGCATTGGCTGGCTCGAGGCGTACAAGCGCACCGATGGCCCTAGCAACGAATTTCGCGACAAGTCCATCTGGATGGAGGAATTTGCAAGCAGTGCTCTCTTTGGCGCCTTCTGGCAGAATGCTGCTGCCGTGATTACGCTCCCGGTTGTGTGCTATGTAGTCTTCAAGCTGGGTGGTGGATTCGTCTCCTTGATTCTCATCATTGCTTTTGGAGGTACAGCAATACCTTTTTTTATTTTTTTTATAGCATCTTCCCGCGCTTTATCCAAGAGCTTTGAAGCAAGACGTTTAACTATGTTGCTAATCGAGATTGTCATTTTTCATTCTGGTTGACTGTACAGCTACATATTACAAGAACTCCATCCGCCGATTCAGACGGAATGCTAGGGATGATATCACCCGTGAGCTGATCCGCAATTCAGTAAGTTTTATGTCGACATCTATTGATGCGCGATCCTTGATGTCGTACCTGTTGTTGTCCTGAGCATTGACATTGCTGTTTATCTGGACACGAATATGTGTTTAACAATTTATCTCCTGATGGTTCATGCAGCTCGAGAATGACGCAGAATCTACAGAGTGGATTAACAACTTTATGTCAAAGTTCTGGCTCATTTATGAGCCGGTACTGAGTGCTACCGTTGTCCAGACCGTGGACGGCATCCTGGTGGACCAAACACCGGCATTCTTGGACTCTATTCGATTGACGACCTTCACTTTGGGAACCAAGGCCCCACGTGTGGAGAGCATCAAGACGTTCCCGAAGACCGATCCCGACGTCGTGGTATGCGCTTCTCCTATTTTGGTATAGCAACAACCAACTTTACCCAATGCATCGCACCAATGTACTTACCTCGCTTGCCTTACTGTATTCCATATATTTAGATGATGGACTGGAGAGTGTCGTTTACTCCCACAGATGTCGAGGACATGACTCCAAGGCAACTTCGCACTCAGATCAACCCAAAGATCTGTTTGACGATCCGCGTAGGAGGCAAAATGATCGGTGCTGGAATGCCAATCTTGGTCGAGGACGTTTCTTTCCAGGGCTACATTCGCCTCAAGCTGAAGTTGACATCCAACTTTCCGCATATCAAGACCCTCGACTTCACTTTTCTGGAACCTCCGATCATTGATTACGTCCTCAAGCCAGTTGGCGGTGAAACCTTTGGCATGGATATTGCACATGTATGTTTTCTCCTCTTTTTTCCTTGGCGCACAATGACAGCTAGCCGAGGGGTGGGTACTCTAATCTTTGCTAACTAGTATTTGTCTGGATTTTGTCCTCATAATAGATTCCAGGCCTACACTCATTTATTCGCGACCAGACAAACGCCATCCTTGGCCCTATGATGTATGCTCCGAACGTGTACACTCTGGACCTTGAACAGATGATGAGTGGCGGATCTGCGTTGAATGCAGCCATTGGTATCGTTCAATTCACGGTCTACAACGCCAAGGACCTTAAGAATGCTGAGATGTTGGGCAAATCGGATCCATATATTAAGATTCGTCTTGGCAACCGCCCCGAGCTTGCGTCGACTGCCGTTCAGAAGAACACGTACGTTTTTTTTTTTTTTTTTTTTTTTTTTTGTAATGCATTCATGAGTTAGGACAAGATGTTCGGGCATAGTCCCAGCATTGAGTAATAGTCGACTAACTCAGCTACCGGCTATTTGTCCTTGTAATCGTATTTAGCGTCAACCCGGTGTGGAACGAAACAAACATCATTCTGATCAACAACCTCAACGAGGTCGTGTGCATGGAAATCTTTGACAAGGACAACGTCCGCAAGGATCCCTCACTCGGTCAGGCCAATTTTGATCTAAAGTCGCTGGAGGAAGATCCTGTGCAGGACGATGTTTGGTGCAAAGTTCTTCGAAACGGCAAGGAGCGCGGCTCTGTTCGCATTCGCGCCGCATTCTTTCCTGTACAGAAACCTGAACCTATTACTGAAGGAGGCGAGGCAGTCCCTGTCGAGTCCAACTCGGGTATCTTGTCGATGAACCTGGCACAGGCCAAAGATATTGCTCGCAGTGGCAAGACCAAGTCCCTGTGCCAGATCTCCTTGAACGGCCGTATCGTGCACGAGACAAAGAAGATGCTTGGAGCAAGTCCAGCCTGGGGTGCTGACGTTGATGTTTTTGTTACGGATCTTCAGGCTGCTCAGATCAAAGTGGATGTCGTTTCAGATGGTAGCGTTTTCGGCTCGTATGGCGTCTCAGCTAGCAAGCTCTTGCAGGACACTGAAAACAAGGTCGAGTGGGCCACACTCAATGGTGGCGATAGTACTGGAAAGATCAAGATGACCGCTATCTGGAAGCCGATCCTCATGGGAGAGGGCCTCAACCCGACCGTGCATAAGCCCGCCTTTGGTGTGTTACGTGTGCAGTTCTTTGCTGGTCGCGACATTCGAAACGTCGAGATCGGAAGCAGCTCTGACCCTTACGTTGTCATTACTGGAGAAAGAGGACTCGGTCATGGACGCACCAAGGCGATCGAAAACAACCTGAATCCGGTGTGGAATGAGATTCACTATGTGGCGGTCAACTCGGTTAAGCAGGTCTTTGATTTTGAGGTCTATGACTATCAGAAGGTGACCAAGGACAGGACTCTCGGAAAGACATCGTTCAACGTGAGTGAGGTCATCGAAGAATTACCCGACAAGGCCGGATATGTCGCTCGCCCAAAAGTGGATCGATGGGCACCGCTGAAGCAGAAGGGCGGCTCTAACAAGGGCGAGATCCATTATGAGATTTCTTTCTATCCGTCTCTCGATCTCGCTCAGGAGGCCACAGAGAACGAGCGTGCCGCTTCACCTCTTGCGTCTGTAACCGCGCCCAACTCCAACGGCGTGGCTCCTGAACAGGTTGCACCCTACAATGTAGCGTCTGCATCCTCGGCACCCATGGATATGACTACCAACAATGCCCCCACAACTTTGCACCCAGGGACCATTTCCGCACGCGAAGAACTTGAGTACGACTCTGGAATTCTCGTCACAACGTTGATTGGCGCCGATCTGGATCGATCTGGAGCATACTGCGAGTTCTATATCGACAGCGACTACTACCAATATAAATCGCAGGTCCAAAAGACCCGTGCCCCCAAGTGGAACGAAGTGGCCGATATTTTCGTCAAGGAGCTCGAGTACGCTAAGCTGACGGTTGTTGTCAAAGAAAAGTCCTCGATGGAAAAGGATCCCATTATCGGTGTGTTTACCAGTCATGTCCGATCATTACTGGAGGACTATCCTAAAGATATGGCGAGCCTTCCTTTGCTCGACAGGGGCAGCCAGCGAGGTAGCATTCAGCTCAAGTTTAAATACCTGCCTGTCCCGATTGAGCTCTTACCCAAGGAGCGTCTCGATAGTAAGTCTTCAAAAGGAAAAGAAGGAGTATCTTCTTGTTGTTAACTGGATTGAAGAATCCAAGCTAACAAAGCACGTTGTTTTTCTTGCGTTCTTTCCATTCTTTTCACAAAGATATGGGCAACCTTACCATTAACTTAATCAGGGCCAGAAACTTGATCGCAGCTGACCGCTCCGGTGCCAGCGATCCATACCTGATCTTCAAGGTGAATGGTAAAGACGTCTACAAGTCTGAGGTCATCAAAAAGACTCTCAATCCAGAATACAATGAGAATTTTGTTCTCCCTATTGTAAGTATTCGTCGGATATTGAGCACTTTGCTTACAAGTGATGTCTTGACTGTATTGTGCTGTTTCTCATCATTGTCTATATAACATTTTTGTCACGCAGGTATCCCGCGCAGACGACCAGCTGTCCTTTGAGGTCTTTGACTGGAACCAAGTGTCGACTGCAAAGTCCCTCGGAGTGGGCACAATCGATCTTCGTAGCATCCAACTAGTTCTTCCCAATGATTTCCTGGTCCCTTTGCAGAATAAGCACAATCAGGGCGAGGTTCTGTTGCGTGTGAAATTCATGCCCGAGTTTCTGTCGTCCAACAAGCGCAAGTCGGGGTTCGGTGCAACGTTCCTGGGCGGAGGAGTGAACGCAATCGGCCATGCTGGAATGGCAGGAGTGGGCGCTGTCGCTGGTGGAGTTGGTGCTGTAGGGCAAGGAGCGATGGGTGTTACAGGAGCTGTCGGGAAGGGTGCGATCAAGGGTGTCGGCGCAGTGGGTAAAGGCGTCTTTGGTGGTCTCTCTGCTGGTGCATCTGCTGTTGGTCTTCATAGACGAGCAGACAAGTCTGGATCCCAACACGGCATTGATCCTTCCAGTTCAGCAGGCATGGGTGCACCTGCAGTGAGTGCTGATCAGTCGCATGCAGTCGGTGCACCAGGTAATCTGACTATCCATGTTGTTGAGGCAGACGGACTATTGGGCGTCGACAGGAGTGGTTCTAGCGATCCCTATGTGAAGGTTGCAGTCAACGGACAAAGCGTGTTGAAGACCAAGGTGAAGAAGGAGACCCTTGCACCCAACTGGAACGAATCTGTTGTCGTCAAAGTCCAGGGTGGACATCCTATTACAATGAACTGCCTGGTCAAGGACCACAATACCCTTGGTGGAAACAAGGACTTGGGCGACTGTGACATTCCGGTGTGGGAATACATCCAGCCAGGAGCCGAAGGACCCTCAGGTCAAAACCGCGCCGATTTCTGGGCAGCCCTGGGCGGTACTGGTGGACGACTCCATCTTGCTCTCGAGTTTGAGCCGAGCTCTGGTCAGTAGAGACATACGCAGATCCTGCACTATGAATAAATCATGTCTCAAAGGCTCTTGCTAGTTGGCTAGGCCACTTCTGGGTCGTCAATCTACCTATTAAGATGTATGAATGAATAGACCAAGAAAAGAAAGCAGATTCAGACGAAACAGGATTTTTCCTTTCAATGTTTATCACACCATACCGTCCCAGAGGAAATGGATTAATGGTTATGTCAAATTATGGGATCGATGTACCCCTTCAATTCAGCTTGACATAAAAACGCAAGAATTGTTCATTATTCTTTATTAGCTGTTCCCGCCTACTCTATTCAAGTCTCTCTTCCTGGTACCCCGCTCTCTGGTGAGTACGAATGACCCGGTATTTTATTTTTCTATCCGACATACCACGCCTTAGCCCGCTAAACCCATGTCTCTTTCCCTCTCCTTTATGACAATACAGCAAGACATTAGGCCTCTTCTGCAAGAGACCTCGTCACCCGTCTCACGGAAGATTTTAACGTTGCTAGCTTCCATTCGCAGAAGGACTGAAGTCCACTCTCGCTCCAATCCCTTGTCTGATGCCTCCTTCCCGCAGGGAACACAGTATGCAGCGACGTTGTAGTTGAATGGTCGGATGTCTTCAAAGTATTGTGGATTCGTAAGCCCTTTGGCGGTTATGATTGCGTCCTTGACGTCCTTGCGCATCGTGATGGGAGTAATCTAACCAAATAAATAGTCTCGCAAAGCGGCTCAACAGAGTGGGTTGGTCCTTTGCTGAAGGAGTGTATCGATGCATGTGGTCTAACCATTGTGGGGTCACCAGCGTAGGTCCTCGCAATCACGGTTCTGTGCTGGCTGATGAGAAAGGGGAAAACCCCTTCCTGTCTGAGTCCACAATAAAAAGCTCTTTAATCCATGGCGAGCAATCTCAACGGCCGTCGGAAGTGGTGTGTCCCAAACCATGAATTTCCTTGCTGGCGAAAAATAAATAGGCAAAATGCCAACACAACGTATGATCTGACCAGGTAAAAAAAAAAAATGGGATAAAAAGGATTGAGAGAAAGAAGTGTAAGAGAGAAGAAGAAAGAGAGCCCCAAATGATTACTTCCCGACCAGCAACGCGTAGGTCCGATTCCCAGAATTCTTACTGGCAAGCGGGTGTCGATGCGATGGGTCTGTTACAGAGAAGAGACGGCCGCACGAGGCAGAAGGAGGTTGAGAAAGCGATGTGAGGACATGAGGATGTGCAGGGTGAGGAAAGAGAAAAGACGTCTCCATCGCCCCGCTTTCTCGCCTCTCTCATCCATCCCACAACTCCATCCTTTCCATCCTTTCCATCCTTTCTACCACCTCAGCCGTTCGTCTATCTCATCGTTTCCACGGGCGCCGACCCTTCCAAACTCCTCTGTCTCCTCTTGGAAACGTACGTGCTTGTATTTCTTTTGCCCCCACACATAATTCCTTGTCAAAGGTGCCCCGCTTCTTTATCTCCAGCAGATATACTTCGGGTTCTGCCGGGCCGGAAGTGGCTATGGCAACAGTGGTCTTCAGATGGGTGCACTCCCGGGTGCCTTGTTAGTAAGCTGTTTGACATGAAGCCCAGCGAAGAGTCTTTGAGGTAAATTGTTGACTAACTTTTTTTTTTGTCTTCATCAATGAGTCCTTTTACACGCAGCCTTACAAGCTCCAAATCAGCAAGGGTGCAATTCTCCACAACGGTACCATCATGACCACCTCAACCAATCCTGCAACCTACTATGAGCTCTGCTTGACTAGTGGAGAAAAAGCGACAGCCCTGGGTTATTTCAAATTCTCCAAAGTCTCTTCTGCATACCTCGGGTTTGTCAGCGACTCCTGGAAGAGATTCATTGCAAATATGAAACCTTACACCAGAAGAATCGAGCTGCAACAGGATTGGGATCAACATCGGCAGGAAAGGAAGGATTACTGGAGCTCAAGAAAGATAGAAGAGGAAGCGGTGGCCGAGCAGGTAAAAGAAAAAAAAAACGCGTCGCGCGTTTGATGATAACTCCGAAGCCAGGGACGATTTGCTAAGGCACGAGACGCATTTTTTTTTTATGGTTTATGGTTCTCTCTTCATAGAGACCTCCCGTTTTCAAACAGTAGCAACGGTGGTAGCAGCAGCAGCAGCGATAGCAACAGTGGCAATAACAGCAGAAACGATCCTGCTTGTATCGCCAGCGGAGGTAGTGAAGGTACCGCTAACGGCAGCAGCGATGGCCACAATGCCGCCAAGCGACGCAGGGGAAACAGCGCCTTCGAAGTTATTTGAGGGCCGCCCTTGTTCGACCTCTTTGCTTACATCTCCAGCAAGGTACTGCATTTCTTTTTCTTCTTCTTCTTCTTCTTCTTCTTATTATTATTATTATTCCGGGTTTTTGAAACTGAACTACGTTCGTCGTGGCCTGTCACCTTATTGTAGGCACCGGATGTAAAGCCCAACTCTCTTTCAGACGTGCCCTCCACCGCAGACTACCCAACGTCCACCGGCTCGCTGTAAACGCACATATCGAGCTATGCAAGGACAACATCACGTAGCAGGAGATAAATAATGTTTAGTAAGTGATTATACGAATGTGTCTGGTGTCTCAGCGGCTTCTCTTGATAACGTTTACTAATGTGTAATTTGATGCTCTTCTGTGAATATGTATCCAATGCAGTCACTTGCAAAGGAATCACATCTCATCCAAACTTCAAACAGCTCTTCACCATCATGCACCAAAGTCATAGGTGAGCCCAGCGAAAGCCCATGTGTTTTTTTAAATGAGCATGAAAACTCCCTTGGTATAGGAAGCGCTACGACAGTTCCCTTCTGACAGTTAATTGGTCGACTGGGTGGTTGGGCGCAGTAAGAAATCACGGCGAAAACTCACGGGTTCGCGCCGAAAGTCTGCTTGTTCAATGCAAAATCGTTTAGCCGCTGCTCTTGGTTGACCATTAGGGTGGCTGGTTATACGATGATGATGTACTGAATACGTAGACACGATCTGCTTACTTTAACATGTCTTTGACCAAGGGGGATCTCTATTTTTTTATGCGTTGCACAGTTATGTAGTGTATACACTAACATCTTGACTTTCTTGATTACAACTTGTGATGATCCGGCTTTGTGAGAGCCGGATCACCCTAGGAACAAGCGGGAGTTGTCAAAGGCGGCGGCTGACACTAATAGGGAACGTGAGCTGCTGGGGTTTGACCTTGTTGTGAACGCGCATAGCATGCAGAATAGAGGAGATTTTTATACTGTATTAGGGGGCTTCAAACTTTGACATTCGCAAAATCAAACGCGTACTCATTAGCCAAACACTTTGTACACAAACGCGCCTTATAATCCGCCCTTTCAAACCTCGTCACTATGGCAGATTTCATTTGCCTCTGCCCACAGCTAGTATCCGCGTGCTCTTCTGATTTTCAGCTTTGCGATTGCATCCTCTGTTCCTTCATCGTCATCATTGAGGATCGTGAGAACGATGAGCTGCTCCAGGCCGGATAGTAGCTGTTTGTATTCTGACTTAAATGGCATGGGGATCGGGTTGGTGGTTGGCTTCGCTCGTCTTGATTGTGCTCATCATTTTTTGAATTAATGTTCGTTCATCCTCTTTCAAATAGTGGTATTCTTGTTCTCATATATTTGTTCCTCATCATTATATAACGACCGTAATATGCTCGCCTCATTTGAACGACTCGTGTTTTTATTTTAAGTTGAACTTAGCGACCAATTGGGTGTTCTCTCGTACATTGTACTTCCTCCTTTGAACTTGATACCTTCTCTGATCTTCCTAGGAATACTTTGGTAGTCCAGTTCAGTGCCAAGCCAGGCATCTTCCAATAAGGTTCTCTGGTGGTCCTAGTTCACACTCCAGCTTAGCGAGATCGTTTGAGAGAGAGGGTATGTGAGTGTGTGCGGGAGAGAGAAAGGGAAGAGAGACTCGATTGAATGTATCTCTCAACCCAGATGATTCATTTGACAGTGAAGAGCGAGCACCAGAGCACCAGCTTCAACAACGCATCGGACCCAACGATGGCTGGTTACTGCTATTTACAATGCTGGTAATTTGTCTCTTTTTTTTATACATGGTCTTCGCTGGCCCGATACCGGCAACCCGACCCGAGACCCTAACAAGTGTATGAGTCCGCAAACGCCTTTGGCCTGCCTGGCTTGGATCGCAACTTCGACGCAATGCTGCCCTCAACGTCAATACTCTTGAGTGCAATCGACTTTCGATTAGATGGTGAATTTGGCGGAAAGTCCTCCTCATCGTCGTCTTTCAGTCGATCCATGATCGACTTTCGCCTGCCGGTCTGCTTGGTAGGGGAGTTCAGCACGAGAGGGTCCCACTCCAGATCCCTAGACTCCTTCTCCTCGGATGGTAGTGGCAAGGCCATCTTGTTGCCCCTGCGAAGTCGGCGCTCGTACTCCGCTTTCTTGACAAGCACTTCTCTTGAGTACTGATCATACAAAGCCTAGATATATAATACAAGGACAATAGTCGGCGCATCGCGTCAGTGAATGCAAAAACACAACCAAAAACCAAGACAATTCGCACAACACTTACCAAAAGGTTGAACAGGCGATGCATATCCTTTTTCATAAAGTCCAAGATCTCGGCCTCCGTTTGAGGCAGTATGATTTTGTCGCAAGCGGGACCAGCGACCCAAATATCATCCAGTTTTTTCATCGAAAATGTTGTTGCCTCCATCCCTATACACAGTCGATAGATGCCATCACAGTTAGGAAATGCGACAGGCCGCACAAGGCAAAGAGAATGAACTTGAAGGGGGTCTTACCTCGCATGCAACAATTGGTGGGCAGTCCAGCCCATAATTTCTCAACAATAATATAATTGGCTTCATGGCCTTGATAGTCCTGTGAAGCTGAATGTCGTCTTTGACATCAGTACACAACGCCTTCTTCAATTCGAAATTGGCAACCTCGAGGTCTTCAACGGTCATAGTGGAATCACATTTTCGCGTTCCTGCGTTGATGCCAAAGATGTCCAATAGATCCAAGTTCGATTGTCTGGCAGCCGTGAGGCCCTGTTCACCACTACAGAAAATTCGTTCCATAAAATCAATATTAGCAACAGGCTTCACTCAACAGAAATCTTTGGCAGGACATGATCGCATCACTTACAGGTTCAACGCCAAACAAGCTGTTGCCGGCAACTGCTCTCGGAAAATGGCTGACCACAGACTGACAGCATCTCCCTCTGATGCGTCCTTTGTTCGGCCAGACAAAGGTCGCTCTGCATGCTTGAGGCTAAGTTACAACCTAGAGTTAGTATTACTGATTGGTAGAGCAGTATCTCCATAATATCCATAATAAGTAATTCATCCACAACTGTTTACATTGTTTTGAGAGCGTCAAGAGAACGGCAATAAGGCTCCGAGCCTGGTGTAGCCTGGATTTGGTAAATCTTGCTAATGATCGGCTGTGCCTTCACTCCAGTGTCCGTCTTCGCTGCACACTCGGCCATCTCCACCAAGGGTGCAACGATAGCAGCAAACCCCATGTCTGGATTGTTGAGCTCTTTGACAGCGCAGGCATCCAGTCCTCGCTCGTAGTCATCCTTGAAGGCAGCATTCGCATCTTGACAGAACATGTTCCAGACTCCTGAGAGAGAAACACTAGACAACATAACAAGATACAGGGTCAGTAACGGTCATCTTGAGTCAAAACCATAGAACACAGAGAATTTAACTTACAACACGTCCTTGAGCGATAGAGTACTCTGGATTTGTGTATTTGGTCCTATTGTTCGCTTTCTTGAGGTATGACAGAGACAGGCGGCATAGAGTCTGGTGTCTTGGGGAAAGATTGTCCTGTACTGCTGTGGACTCGGGTAACGCCTCATATATCCCAAAGTGCTGTAAAAGTGAAGAGCAAAGAGTCAGCGTCAAAAGTACTCGCCCCGACAATCAATCCCATGGTATTTTTGAAGCAAGAGCAAGAGCAAAGCATACCATGGCATGGGCAATGTCCACAAGCGACCTAAATGTGGCGTGTCCCTTTTCGAGCCGACGCCGCTTTATCGCTTCCACCAGAGAATCTCCCGGTCTCTCACGACTTTTCGATGACGATGAGGACAACGAAGCCTCAACAGTGGACGACGAATTGATGTGAGGCGAAAACAGAGCATCGGTGGACAGAGACTTGCTGTGGAGGTCAGAGGTCATACCACCGGTGGACAAAGGAGCCGGTGCTAAAGAAGTAGATATCAGACATTCGTGACAATAATAAGCTGTAGACAACAAGCGATCTCATGAGGAAGGGGCCTTACCATTGCGGACCATCATTGTAAGTTCCTTGCTGACGTGATGAACTTGCTCTGAACTCTCTTGTAACAGGTTGACTTTATGGTTCTTCACAATGCGATTCGCAAGAACGGACTGAGCATCGTCGTCGATGTTGTGAACCTTGGCACCAACATCTCGAAGAACTTGGACTTCGCTTTTCGAGAACTCGACCATCCATTCCTCCCACTCATGAATGATGGCTTCCTTTGATTCCGTCATCATATGTCGATGTTCAAAGTATCCGCGAGGACACGCAAAAAGAACATTGGGCAATGCTGTAAAATAAGAAACGCCAGTGCGAAGACTATTCAGCGATGCTTGCCAGTCGACCTTGTCGACCTTCTTGTCAGCGCGATTCTTTCGGTGACCGCCCATTATATGGAGTCTAAACGTTGGATAATTGCTGCATCAGTATCAGATTCATCAAACAAAGCCATTTCCGAATGTGCATGTCAAAGAATATCACGTCAACAAACATGACCAAGGCTGTGTGCGATCCTTGTTCAATATGTTTTCGTGAGGGCCACTAAGCCAACCAACATGTCTTTCACTCTCACACGGCGAACGAGTGTAAAGAACGCTGGTATATCACCGACCCTAATGGCAGGGGAGGCTTCACCCGTTGTTCGACCAATTGACACATTCCCAACGATCCATAGGTTCTCAATGACCAGAGATGCAGTCAAAGATACTGGAACGGTTGGGCGTGCTGGCATAGAAAAATGGTACGGTGAAGAGATGGATCGAGCAGCCTTTAAAAGAAGCAACAGTGACCAAGGACTTGTGGGATCCTTGTTCAACAGCTTAGAGGCGAAGTCGCTAAGCCAACCAACGCAACCATTACACTCTCACAAGGCAAACGAGTGAATAGTGCTGGTGCATCATCAACCCTGAAAAGGGAGGCTTCACCCGCTGTTTGACCAATTAACACATTCCCAACGATCCACAGGTTCCCAATAACCGGAAATGCGGTCAAAGATACTGGAACGGCTGGGCGTGCCGAACGACGTCATACTCGCTCTTCGGGGGGAGAGGATGAGTACTGTAACATGTTACCTTTTTGTAAATGAAATAAATGAAGTTTCGCGACAATGACGTTGCAATCGACCGAGAGGAGAAGGATGTAATGGGCCGCGCGATGGGCCAAGACACGGATGGAGTGTGTAGAAACGAGAGTGTGATAGCAGAGTCGAGGATTAGAGGAGTCAGAACAGTCGGGACTGGAAGGAAGGATGGGTGGATGCTGGCGCGTGTGGGTGTGATGGACGAAGAACAATGGACAATGGACAGGACACAAATGATGGCAAGGGCCTCACTTCTCAAAGAGAAAGCAGGGCAATGGGCGCTCAAATTGCGTCATAGCATACGGCTCTAACGAGCTTTTCGCCATGGTCCACAAGTCTTCAACATCGCTTCATCATCTCAGTCATCTCCCTTTCCGACATCTGTTGCCAAAGGTCAGTGCTTCCCATTCTCTCCTCCCACACACGCACACTCGATTCCCTTTCGTTTTCATTCAAACTGGCTGCACTGTGAAAGGAAGGCATGGTCCTGGACTATGTCCTTCTAATGGTGGGGTGGTCATTGCAGAACCCGTGTCGAGGAGGTCTACCGGCCGGATCGACGCCACTTGCGCTTTAATGGATCGAGTGTTGTACAGACAACTATTGTTTTTTCCCATATGTTTCCTGGCTGTTTACCAGCGCGTGATACCCGAAGCAATTGATTAGGACTCTGTCTAACCAATTTTTTTTCCTTTTCTCGCTTTGGATTCCTCTTTTCTTGGTCGAGTTGACGCGTTCGCCGCAAGACAGAAAATAGCCAACCTATTCTTGTATCTCCTTCGTCTGAGCCTCATTCATCAGCGTGTAAAGTGCAAAAACAAAAATTCCGTGCACGCGATGTTCCACAGAGCTTCGATCAATACCATATCTCACACTGTAGAATGAAAGAGAAGACCTGCCTTAATTTGGAACATTATGCCAAACAGATTAAACCCAAGATTAAGAAGGGATGTGTCCTGTGTTAAACAAGCTTGCGACCGTTGGAATGCATGGATCGAATTACAGCAGTAACATAGTTTGCAGCATTTCCACCGTTTGATAGTCACAAAGCGGCACAGCCACTAATAATGACACCACAACACATGAGAATGCTTGAATAAGGGTTTCATTGACGAAAACCTGAGGGGTGATAAGCAGTAAGTGAGAGAAGGAAGTGTTTAAGCTCTGTCTGTCACAGTAGGAAAAGCCCAGACCCACGGAGATGGATACATGGACAAGCGGAGTGCTGTTAGGCAATTTTCCTGACCAATGAAGCTGCCAAGCTCAACGCGATACAAATATTAGTGTAAATAGCAGATACAGTATAGATATAGAAGGTCTCTAATTTACAACCTTGTGGGACATCTCCGCACCGCAAGTATGAATCCACACTGTACAGTCCACGTTTACAATAAGCTACAAAATATAGCTTATTGTGAATTTTGGTATTCTGTCAGTTCGAAAATATATCAAAATTTTACTCTCATTGGGCCGTATGCCATATGTCTATGAGATCGAACCATGACCACAATGCTATATAGACCTCGGCCAGTGAGAGTAAAGTTTTGATACCAAAATTCATAATAAGCTACAAAATGTAGCTTATTGTAAACATGGACTGTACTGGTTTATCGTCCCCGTGCGCGGAACGACCATTTCACTGCGGCACTTTTTCTCATGAGCAACGAAGTGGCCGTACCTGGTCGATCGCGACAACTTTGTTCAGCGCTGGTGTCGACTTTTGGGGTTCGATCGCGTTATGCCATTTCTGTATTAGGGTGTGAGGACCATGAGCGGCCTCTCAAAAGGATAACATATAAAAAATGCTGCTCTCAAGCCATATTTGTGAACCGGGAAAAGAGAGCGAGAGTGAAAGGGCGACGGGAGGAAAGAGAACTCGAGGAGCCTCTATTGTCGTCGCCATGACTGCTTGTGTTTGTCAAGAAAGCTAACGGAATAACAGTGTCAAGCAATACACAAGCAAACACGCAGATGCTGTTGTTGAGAGTACTGCGGGAGGGATGAAAAGTAGATCGGTCGCGATCGGGCCAAAGGGCAGAGCCAAGGGTAGCCGAGATACGAATGAACCCATGATATGGATCCCGTCGCCTTCGACTGCGCCCCCCCTTGGATTGTGTATGCCCATGGACATGTCCAAGAAGACAACAAAGCGGTTGGTTACTTCCTCGGAGAAAACACAAGTCCGATCAAAATGGCCCATGAAGGCACATGGACACAAAATATGCTCGAAATCCGAGAATGGGACACGCCGCTTTTTTTTATAGTTGATTTGTCGCAATCAGGACGCAGATCAGAAAACCGAAACCTTGTTTGCATTGCCCAAGCGATCTTCTTCGCCCTTATTTAGTTTTACTTGGTTCCTTCAATTCAGCTTTCTATCTTGGCAGAGGCCTTACTCAGTATTGCGAAAAAAAACGGCTCATCCTCCCATCTTCTTTTGCTATTTGCGTTTACTGTTATCCTCCTATCCTTTTATTCCTTTTCGTCTCTTTCTTCCATTTGCTCTTCATTAAACCCGCCATCCACCCGGTCTTCGTTCGTCAAAACCTTCAGTACCTCATCACACTCAGCCATGCCACGCTTTCGAAAGGCCTCCGATGGCGTTATCTTTGCCACGTTCTACTGGTTCTTCTTCCTTGGAGCAGGTACAAAACAGCATCTACCATCTACCTTGACCTTCTGTCGACATTGCAGTACTTCTCCCGCACAAAAGTGTAGCTCGGTATCTGGCGATATTGTCGCTCACTCACCCACTATGTTCTTGCATGCAATAGTGGGAACGCTGACCTATTATGCACAGGCTAGGATCAAAACCGTCCTCGCTCGGGAATTTATTCTTCTATCGACCAGCATCTATGCATCCAACACTAGGGAAATGGTCATGCCGGACCTTATCTTCTGCACTCAACACCTGGCATTTGACCCCCTCAAAACGCCGCTTTATTGGGATTATGACTATATCCCTCTCAAAGGACCAACAGTTCCTGCTAACAAGAGTGTCCTAACACCCTGTGTTGGCGAATACGTTACCGAAATGTACATCTTCCGATCCATGTACTCAACGTTTCCAACAGCAAATACTTCAATCGGATTTGTAGGGCCAATGTTTGAATTCAACGGGAGCAGCCCATTGGCTTCGGCAAGTACAACCGAACAAAAAAAAAACGACACCGTGGGCAATGTTTTGCTAGCCGTTTATGATGTCAACTTTTTAACGCGTGATTCAACATTTCGCTCGCACTGTCAAAAAGAGAGCCTACGGGGTCGTCTACATCGTCCCGCCTGGTAAGTTGACGTTTGTGAAGCGCCAAATCAACCCAATGTCGTTACCTTAAATTACTTCTAAGCCGTCTCTCGTTCCTGTCTTTTATTGCACTTTCTCTTCTCCATCTTTCTTCCTGCGATAGAAAACAATCGGTACCGCAATACCACTTATGTCACTGGGAGGAGTCCTCTTGCTGATCGAACCTTTGGAGAGTATCAGCATGCCTTTGTCCAGGATAATTCCGTGGCTTGGCTCACCTCTACACTGGAGACGACGCGCGTCCTGAGAAGTGACTTTTTGGGACTCTTTGGTTTGTACAACGACTCTGCGACTATATACGATGTCAAGTCAAACGCCGAAGTGATTTTGGACCAGAACAAAACACACATCTATTATCAATTCCCGAACATGCAGATTGAGAGCCGTCAGGTTTTGTAAGTCCTTTTTACAAATACTTTTGCTTTCCTTGTCACTGCAGCGCCGTTACCCCTCTGTTCTTTCTCTCTCGCTAAAGCATTCTTTCGATTTTTTCTCGCTACCGATGATTTTTCAGGCTGCTGAGCATTCCCGAGGCCATCTCGTCCTGGGGAGGCGCCTTCTCGATTATCCTCTCCATCTTTTACGCGCTATTCGGTAAAGGGTATGGTCATCTCAGACGAAGCGTAAACGCGATGAACGCCGCTTTTCTTTTTTTTTTGGGGGGGGGATTCTTTTTCCCAATTTCCTCATCAACGTCGACATTTTTTTCGTCCGCCTCTATTCCTTCTCATTAGAGCATTCTCACCGTTTGGTATCATCCAGAAATCCGTCCTGCGCAATGGTACCAGGGCCAAGATCGCGAGTGTGTACACCAACGGCAGAAAGGGCAACAATGAAAATAATAACGACAAGTCCAATTCTCTCACATATCTCGACAACAATAAGCAGGATGCTCGAGATACGAATGCGCCCCTACCGTTCGTTCTCGGCGGAGCAAATTACCAACCATGTCAACAGGATCTGACAGCCCTCCATCAGCAACAACAAGAGATCCATCATGAAGAACTCGTCGCCCTCCGTCAACAGATCCGAGCCCTCAGGCAGGACGTGAGCCACCTTCAAAGGCACGAGCAGCGGGTCAAGGAGTTTTACCTCGATATGGAACTGATGGAGACCGCGGATGTGGCCCCAGGTGCGACAATGCCTGAATTTGGGCAGCCTACCTCCGAGCGCCCCTTCACATCTGGTAAATCGGACTCACTCTCTGGAGGCGAGGGACACAATGTGAGGCAGCGGAAAGGATGGGCCCAGAAGCTCTTCAATAACGAAGCCGAGTTCCAAGAGGTTCCCAGGGAGGAAACACTGGCGCTCAGACGTGCCGAGCATGGTATGGGAGGATATACCCAGCATACCCAACAGACAGACCCCACTCCCGAAAACGTCCATTGGAGCGCGGGATCCGGAAGAGATGCGAATATTGAGATGCGACCTATCTAAACCGCCTCTCCAACCACAACAGAAGATAATATACAGTGCTCACCAAAAGTGATTACAAGTTTCGCTCATTTCGACATCCATTCTCCATGCTCATCTCCATCTCCTCCATCCCTCATAGTACTCATACCAAACACTTCTCGGATAAATATTGTTGCGCTTGGAGATAGTTCTTTTACAGTTGTATGGAGTAAGGAAACTCCCAATCTGAATGCTCGAATAATTTGTGTTCCACACTGAATACAAGGGTCTAACGCACAACTACGCACACTGTAGCGAGTGATCAGCACAACGGTCTTCTTGTTCAACTGGAACCATAATTCATTATTGATATATCTAAGCAAAAGGGTACCTGTAGCGAGTGATCAGCACAACGGTCTTCTTGTTCAACTGGAACAAGGAACAAAAGACCGCTAGCTTCGATCCTCCTTTTATACAGGCACAACCCCAAAACCTAATATCAAATCCTGCGTACCCTTGGTGGCTGCTGGCCAACAATATGATCATTGCATTATTGGATCTTTGGAAGTGAGTGAAGACATGATTCAAAGTTGCTGAAAGAAATGAGGACTATAAGTAGTCTATCTTTTACGTCTTTTTATTACCTTTCGTTGAGAAGAGCGCCTTGGAGATCCGTATCCGCATCAGGAATTAAGAAGAACGGAACACAAAGGCATTGTTAATACTCCATCAGATATTTATCAACAGTCTGAATACTCTTTATCTTTGTCATTGATCTTTCACTCTGTAGTAATACATGGCAGCCTACCACATTCCAGGAATCAGACCCCTTGCAACAGGATTATCACTCGGTTACCAAGCCGCACGGTTACGACATGCAGAACCAGGATGGAGCCCGGAACCATGACAACACCGTTACGACACTGTACAATAGGCCCCAGACATGTATATATAGACCCCACTTATGATCATTAAACCGCATTCATTTCTACGCATTCCTTACTTGACCACTGCCCTTGATCCCTTGACTCTGCTGCTGTTGTACCCAGTGTTTCTCAAAAATATTCGACTTTTATTCGACTCGAGCTAGGCCAATGTAAAATTCGAATGAAATTCGAAATTCGATTCGACAGTTACATTGGCCTAGCACGAG